TTCAATTCCAAATCGAGAAATGCAGAAATACGAGTTCGCAAAACTGGGAAACTTTTTAAAATTTTCTAAAGGCAAAAAGTTATGAAGAGGCATTCTGAAAGGAACAAAAGTCAGAATTTTTACCTACACCATTACCTCTGCACGTGTAGCTGATGTGTAAACACGGTACACCATTTTCCTTTTTTAACGGAGGTTATAACACCTCTGTTGGGTTATAATTCAATCATGCCATAGGTCCTAAGTTCAATTTTTCAGTTTCACTAATTTACCTAGATTTTGTAAGTATTAGAAAATATGACTGCCACTTTAGGATTTCTGACCAACGTAAAAAAATATGTACGGTGCAAACATTTCGGTAACAATTCTCTCCCCAATTGTCTACATGTAGGCCTATCTGTCTATCCCTATGGATGATGACGGCTCCTTGTTGGGTTTTGTGGGGATGAAGTCACACTAATTGTAAGAAAACGAAGCTGTAATATTTTCATGTCCCTTTTTAGTAATCACTGGAGGAAGAAATGTTTTCATGCCCTAAGAGATGTTTTTAATATAGGCCCTACATGTAGTGCTATCAATAAATGTATGATATATAAGCCTTAGAGCCTAATCACTCAACAGACACATGCATAATCTAACATGCAGGTGAAAAAAATGCAATTTCGTTACGGATGTTTCATGTAGGTCAAAATGCGACAATATTTGTTTTGGTAATTGTCAGGTAAAAACTATAACTTGGGCAGCAGCATTCGTGATTTGTAGAATTACAGATACGACAATTATAGATCACATTACATTATAAAATAGCAAAATTAATAAAATAAGTCATTGGTTGCAACTGGGCACGAAAGGCGTTTTGCTTGCATTTCAGACACTTAAAAATGCAAGGACGATTTTCGTGATACAGTGTATCATATATATAGAGAGAGAGTAGACTTTAACAGTAAAAAATCTGTCAATATTCCACACATAATGCAAAATCATTTATTCTTCCTTCTTCCACTCACATACTGGGGTACATAGTTGAACTAATTTTGAAATGAACCATGCGCTACCTCCAGAATAACGTCAAATGTTATATTTCTTTACTTGAATCTGTTTTTAAATTGGTTTCTTTTGCTACTTTTCTTTTTTTTTTTTTTTTTTGCAAAATAGTTTGTAATCTAGAGTGGCGTATTAGGCACGCTGAAGGGTTCAGAAAGAGAACTAGTTTTGGAAACAGGTTGGATATATTCTCTTAAAATATTTTGCGAGTTAACTACTATCCTAACTTTAGATTTTAGCGCTCTCTTTCGGCGTATCCATTGTTTCACAGCGACAGAAGTCACAGTGCGCGATGATTGACGTTTGTTTATATAACCTGCCAATCAAGCTGTTATTACTTGACAGCAACTATCAAAACTAAGTGAATTTGATCAGCACCTTGTCAATCAAAGGATGTAGGACTAAACGTGTTTTTTTTTTTTCGTGAGCTATGGAGAGAAAAAATGCCGAGATAATGATGTTAGTGGCCAGGTAAAGAAAAAAGTGCCGGTTTTGTTCGTTCCTTATAAATGGCCTGGGCTATAAGTAGCCCGTCGCTGTATATTGACATGAGCGTGCGTGAAAACTGTTATTTTTAAATAAACTACACATTTAAAACTGCCAAATTGAAATGGAAAACAATTTTATTTAATGCATTAACAATCTTTCGAGCTTTATTCTGCGATGTATTGCTAGTACTTCATAAGTATAAAAACTTCAGATTTCAATAACGTGTGAAAATGTTAATATTAAAATAAACTAATAGTGGAATAAGTCTTAATCAAAGACTTGAAATTCTTGGTCTAATTTATTGAAGTTTTTAGTTCATTATTTTATTGGTAAAAAATGATCTTTTCATTATATATAAAATGGATGCTACATCGTATAAAAATTAATATTTGATCGAATATTTACTTGAAAACATACTTATTTATCTAATTATTTTATTTTATTTTTTAAGTTTAAACAAAATAAATTCAGTATTAACAACCTCATTTTTGCTCTGCCTCATCTAGCACATTCTATGAAGTTTTTGTCTGAAGGCGCATACATGTATTATGATGTAATATATTTCCTGGCATGCTTTTTGCCATTTATATTCTACGTGCAGTATATTATGTTTCATACCGCAAGTGAGACTAAAAATGAAGCTTTTTTTTTCTCTCGGTAATGTTTTCAACTAATCTATCATAGAGAAACATCTTTAACTTGTTTCTATAACCCAGCTTATAGGTAAAAACCTTCCGTAGTTTAGAGCTCAGGTCGAGAGAGGAACCGGGGGCAATAGGCGAGTCTTCACATTCCTCTCTTTTAATACGTAAACGAAAGAAGCGCACTCAAAAAATTGCGTACGATTCAACTTCATATCTTGGCTTCCTTTGTCCCAAATTTGCCCTTAAAAATACCCACAGATACTGAGCTTACTTAAGCCCCGATTTAAGGGTCATTCACAAGTAAACTCAGTACCGAAATGCCATTTAGTTCCATTCTTATTGTTCAACCTCTCTCGCTCTCTCTCTCTCTCTCGTTTCATTTATTTTACTCTATTTTGATCTCTATATACGTAAGAATGATACAGAAGTTACTCGATGGAGAATCAGATATTGATACAAGGTTGATATAAAAAGTCGTTCCTTTTTCTATTGAACTGGTCTTTTAATGGTAGACAGTAACGCGTCTTCTCATGAACGGGGCAATTTTTGTACTGTCTACTATAGAGACTAGTCCCGCCTAGGTTTGTTAATTTTATTCATACAAGGTGGTCCATCTTCCATTTTGAAGACCAGTATTTGGTTTACAAGACAAAATCAATACATCAATGGCTTGATTCAAATTATATTGGGGGAGGTAGTCGGAGCGCGGGGTAGGCTATGAAGGAAAAGCGTTTTAAAAGCCCACTTTTTTTCACGTCAACACAGGAATGGATGGGCTGTTTTTTATTTTTATTTATTTTTTATGTAGGAGTGTATGGTGGCCCTCCCCCCTTCGGTTTATGAAAAAAATCATATCTCACCTCTTGATATTAGAATTTTGACTAGCTTAATCATAGTTCTAAACCGTACCAATTGGCACCGTTCGCCCTCTAAAATACCCAAAATCTTTCGAGGCCGTTCAGCGGGCCTCGAACTCCACGTCAAGGGGGGTGGAGGAGAGGGCGAGGGTCGGCTTCGCATCCGAGGCCTGTCATTCCTAAAAATACCGGACCTCCCCTGCAAATAATCCTGGATCCACCCTGCTACAATTATCTATTCTGACACACAAAAAAGAAAAAAACATACACATCATTGTCGTTTCCAGCACCCCTGATCACATTCTCCAATCGATGTAGTTTATTTTTACTAAAATAAGGCGCTAACAGGGAACAGTCACGAAACACTGTAAAACTGCTTTCTCTTAGAAGGTAATTTGCAAAACATAACTAACCAGGCATTGTGAAAAATATACTTGAAGCTCATAGTAAGATAAACATGTATCCTGTAATACCCCTTAGTATGAATAAGTCGCAACTATTATCCAAAAGGGATGTTGTTTTTGTTACTCAAACCTTCGTTATTGGATACGAAAAATGTGCATACTAGCAAGGCATGAAGAGGGAAGTAATAAGAAAATGTTTGCATGATTACACAAAAGCTGTTACCAGAAATTTAGAAAAGGTAGAATTCGCGAATGTTTCTTTTTTTGAATTTCATTTTTCTTCAAGGTTCGCAGTGCATGTGTATATTTTTCAGCGAGTCTTCAAACTTACTGAATTGGCGAATATTCATTAAATACAGGTTGAGTTTGAAAATCAGCATGATTATGCCATTTTTAAGAAAATTTATGCCGTTTTTTTTAAAGCATATATGCAATACTGATAACACATTTCAAGTAAAAGCGAACTCACAGGTGTGATCAATCTTACTGAAATAGAGGTCAAGCTCAAAAATCAGCTTGATTGGGCCATTTTTTTCAAAAGTTATGCTGATTTTTCATTTTTTTAAAGCATATTTTATCCACCATTATACAGATAAGACAAAAACTGTGTCATATTTTGCTCAAAATTTTGCAGGACTGATTCATAGGACTAATACACAGATCAAGTTAAAAATTATCTTGATCAGTTTAGTTCAGAGGCAAGTATGAAACAGCTCAAATTGACAAACCAACTTGATTCGATTATCATTTTTCTTAAATTTATGCAGTTTTTGTGTGAATTTTCATTTTTTCTCATTTTGGCATTTTCAAAGTATGAACTTGAACTTTCTTGGGCCTGAAGCCTTATGCTTGTTACACATTTTACATACATCCATATACGTAACCTGCTGTGCATAATTAAAATTTGGTGTTGATTTGCTGTTAAGCAAAATGTATTATTGCATCAGAATTGACAGTAGCCTATTTTGTGCATCAGTATTTTCTTTTTGTCTGTACATTGGACAGCTTGCTGTTGCTATTGCTTTTAATCTGTACATTTGACAGCTTTGCTGCCTTGTTATAACATATCAATGAAAAAAAAAAACTTGAAACATGTACAGTGCAGCATGAAAGGGTACCTTTGCAAAGTGATGTATTAATTTTTAAAACTTATTTCAAATTTTTGGCCAACACTTTACATTTTGGTCACATAAGTGATTTAAGTACATAATTTTCAAAAATGTAACTGGAATGGTAATTCCTAGAATAAAAAATTACCTTTTAGTTCTTCAGTAAGGAAGAAGTTGGCACAATAAACAGATGATACATTTTTCTTCTTGAAATGCATACAAGTCCTTATTCCTGTTTAACAAAGATACCTAATATGTGATAAATTGAACATTTCGGAGTTTGGGAAATTAAATATTTTTTTTATTTATTCTAGTATACAAAATACTTATGCACCCAAGCAAAATTGAGCAACTTTGATTGTCTGATAACAGGAAGTTACAACTTAAAAATAAAGAAACTATAAAAAATCTACAAATTAATAATCAATTTGCTTTAAACACATATAAATTTTTAAAAAAATATTTGCATTTAATATGTAACAGCATTCACATCTCTCATCAAATGGTCCAAAATTATAAATATTCATTTGAAAGTATGCTGTAATTAAAAAAAAACTTAAGTTGGAAAACTTTATCTCAATAACTAAATTTTCATTTTATAAATGTACACGTATCTATATCTTAATAAAAATGTTTGCAATAGCAAGTCACACAAGAAATGCCTACCTATGTTGGAATATAAAACACAAAATCTGCATCCTAAGTAATTTATCAGAGATCAGTTCAAATAAACTTCTGTTCTACCCTGTATGATAAGTTATTTTATCTCATTGTTACTTTCTCAGAAAAATAGTTTGAGCATTAACATTGTTTTTTGTGCCCTGTTCCAGTATTGTTGCTGCAACATTCCCAAACTTATCAGTAGTTGATTAAAAATATTTCTGGATATAAAAGCTCTAACTTTACTTAAAGCACAGAGATTAAATTCAGAGGCATATATTATATTACCGTTTAAGCAATCTATTTTGATTAAATATCTTGGAATGACAAATCGGGCATTTGAACAGAAAATGCTTGAAAAAGAGGAGGAAAACTTTTCCTTTCCTATTTATTAATTTCCTATTTCTGAACATTTCATACCATTTCAATGAGCAAACTTTTCTTTATTGTCTTTTACACAAGAAAAAGGAAACCCTATGAAGAGAGGAAATTTACCCTCAAAGTATTGCATATTAACAAAAATATAAATTCAAAATTAATTTATGACATTAGGACGGTGGACCCAGCATATTACACTTGTATTGATCAGGCCTAGCACGACAATACATTAGTACTAGCCAGCTGGTACAGATTTCTCCCTGTGTTACTATGACATGGTACTACTGCGTTTGTGAGGTGCCTTCTTCCCAGACTTCTTTCTCTTTTTCTTAGTTGCGTCATTAAGATGACCACCTGTTTCTGCGAGCAGGGCTTTCCTGGCAGCCTTCTTTTCTTCTTGTTTCTGTTCCCAAATGCGCTCATTTGCCCTCTCTGAAAACAAGGTGGTTTAAAAGTAATTACCTTTCTTCCACAGTTAGTGAATTACGACATATGAAATAGAGATGTGGTAAACAGGATTACATTACAAAATTAATAACAACTAAATAGATAAACGGGGGAAAAAAGAGAAAAGGAAAGATATCATTTTTTTCAAGAGAAAAAAATTAAAAACCTTATTTATATTAATGTAATTAAGGTAATGTTAAGAATTCAGACACTATATTATCATCTGTCATCAATGATTACGTTTAACAAGAACAAATTCACTTTTTAACCCTTAAAATTGCACCAAACTTACCAACTGCTTTTTCTGCCAGTTTTAGTCTTTTAAATTCTTTGGACAACCAAACTGATGGACTGTTCAACAAGCTAAAAGCCAAAATACAGAGTTTTCTTTCATTTCTATCAAGCAAATACCAGGCAAGGGAGCCAAGAGAAATTAAATTGAATCTCACATAATATGCAGTTTATATTAGACTTAAACTAAAGGTCATTATGTCTGGCATGTTAACAGTAAATATGCAACTACTTTTACCTGGAACATGTATCAGTAGTATATGACCTGGGGCAACAAATGAAAATACGGAAGTTACGGATTCATTAAAAGCTGACAGAAATTTTTTTAATGGTTTATATTTCTGACTCTATGTTTAATCATTAGTTGACTGGAAAATTTGCTTAAAATCTTACCCCAATGAGCAAGATTTAGGCAGATGGACCTTGGTTCCAATGTAAAGAGACTCTTCACATGGAGGTAAAAGAGCTCTGAAATAAAAAATGGAAAAACAACTAAACAACCAATAATCATATTATTGTATGGATATTCACATCTACAGCAATCTCTAGAACTGTAAAAATATATACTTATTAGTAGGAATGTAAAGCATCTGTATCACATATTAAGGATAGGATGGATTTATAGAATACTATTCAAAGGAACATTTTGATAAAACGAGATTGTAACAATTATTATCAAGGTATAAGATTTCCACTTTACCAAAAATTGAGGAAAATTGAGACTATAACAATACTGCTGTGTTTGAATTAATAAATATTTTGCTTTTAAAGCCTAAATATTATGACAGTTATTATACCTTTTCAGTGTGTCCTCAGAAATATTGACCCCCTTCTCTCTCAGCTTGGCAGACATTGCACGCACTTCTCTAGTCTTTTCTGTTTCCACCTCCTGCAGAGAATAAATCACAAGAAATTTCAGTCTTTCATGTTGCTAATTAAACTAAACAGACTTTTTTTTTTTGCTGAAAATTTTCTGAATTTGTGTGTAGACCTGTGTGTGTTTGTGTGTGTTCATACACATGAACCAAACATGCACATATATATGCACTCAAAGATAAAAAGAGAGAGAGAGAGAGGGAGGGCAGCTCTATTCCACCACATGAACCAAGCATGCACAGATATGTGCAAAAAGATAAAGATAGGGAGGGAGGAAGAGTAGCTCTATACCACAATGTCTCTCCGTGTTGATATCTCAATGACTTTTGCAGGTTTCTCTTCATGTTTCTTGCGTGTATGGCCTGCTGAGTGGCTGCGTGCACGGAGATGAGTTTCTGAAATTAAATATGGAAAATACGTCTTTTTTAATAGATTGCCATAAGGGCACCAACTTTAATAAAAAAATACCATTGCCTAGTATATCTGAATTATTCACAAACTTTGTGTTGAAAAAGGTGAAAACTAACTTCTTTCTCTTATCAAGTGAAGGAATAACTATAACTCACCAATTACTTTCTTTACTATCTCTATTGTAATAATCCTAAGTTCAGTAAAAATGTTATGCAGTAAGAATGTGTGTGTGTGTGTGTGTGTTTGTGTATGAAACTATCCAAGGCTATTTCAGGTAAAATAAAAAGGTAATATCTTACTGTGGTGGGGCCTGTGAGTTTCAGTGGCAGCAGAGAAGGGCCTGGGCTTGGACTCTCTGAGAACAGGATAAAGAAACAGTTTAGTTGCAACAATAAATCTTCAATTTAACTTAAATTTCTACATCCAAAGGCATGTATAAAAATAATTTTAAAAAATCTAAACCCAAAGCATATAATGAGATGAAAAAATTACAAAGTACACCAGCTGGTCCTGACAGGCCTATTATATAAGTTTACTGTAAAACCTACCTGTCTTTGCAGTGTGTTCCATGTCTTGCTGTGGTTGGTCTGTTTACAGGGGGTTTGCTACTCTTTGAATGTCTCCTGTCTACGCTGCCAAACTGATCCTAAATATGATATTTATCACTGTTTAGATAGTGAATAACTTGTTATGACCAAACTTAGTGCACAGAAAACAATTTTTTCCTTTTGGGAGTGGGGAGGGAGGTATGTTTAAACAAGGAGTAGGCTTACATAGGTATACAGTGTATTATAAAATGAAATTTTCTTCATGGCCATAGTTTGGTCTCATGCAATCATATAAGAGTCAATGGCTAAAAACACACATCATGGAATTGAAACTACATGTACATGTATAACTGAATGACACACAATAGTTTGTAAATCCTATAAATGAATATCAGGCCTACCCAACTACCAGACGTGGCACCTACGGATCCTGAATAAACCGGTATATCAGACCATACTACCCGTTTTCAAGGTGTGTGTCAGATCGCATTACGGAGTATCATACCCCATCACAAATTTTGTAGGCCTTCCTGTCATCCGGTGCACTACTTGCCAACCCCGCTTAGGATCATCGCTATCACATCGCGCACCAAGCAAAATGGGTGAAGTGGCTGATACTCCATAATGCGATCTGACACACACCTTGAAAACGGGTAGTGTGGTCTGATATACCGGTTTATTCAGGATCTGTAGGTGCCGCGTCTGGTAGTTGGGTAGGCCTGAATATGGAAGGTAGAATATAAAAAGTATAACATACTTGCTGTGGGGCATTGCTTGTCTGCTCTAGCTCCCCATGGTGGTTTCCATGGGCACTGGTTGTTTCCTGACTCCCACAATTATCAGTATCTGTTTCAAGGTTTTCTTCTTCCATGGCAGATGCTGGTTTTATGGCATTATCATCTCCAGATGGTGACCTTGACCTTGACACAGCCAATTTGCTGCTATGAAGAAGTGAAGTAATCCTGTTACCAAGCTCCTTGGATATCAAGTTGTCCAGTCTGCTGCCACTGCGGGCTGGCTCACTGTTCTCTGTGTCTCCAATGTCTAACGTGTCACCTCCACCAAGGCTCTCAGTATCATTCACATCAGCAGAAGCATCAGACGTCACTCTTGACACCAGTGTCTCTACCTCTGGCTCCTTTCTGGCAGGTTGCACACCCAGAGGTTTCACACTGTCACTAGGCTGTCCACTTTCTTTTTTAGCCTTAGCACAGAACAACTCCCTCCTCTTTGCGGTGATTGGCTTAAGTCTCTTTGGTGGGGTTGCTAGCTGTTCTTGAGCATTACCCTGGCTATCCAAACTTGCTTCATTATCAGGTGCCACAGGGACGTGACCTATCCGAGAACCTGGTCTTTGTAGAGGGTCACCCTGTGTGGGCTCTTCAAGTTGGTTCCCACTGGATACAGCACTGGCTGGACGCCTTATTGCACTGTTTGGTCTCTGCAGTAAGTGTCTACTCACATTAGCAGTCTTTGGTCTATGTAGTAAACTAGAGGTTCTTCCCCCATTGTCCACCAGGGTTGGAGGGACATAGTCCTTTGGTTTTTGTGCCTGACCTTCAATGAGATGTACAGATTTTGATTCTATAAGCCCAGATCTATCAAATTCTAGAGTTTTTGTTATTTTGAATCTTGGAACAGCATCTTCTGTTGGTGCCCCAAACAGGTCTTTTGACTGGGAAAGTCTGCCTATTTCATAATAATTCTTCACCTTACTGGAAACCACTTTGGTTGGTGACCATGACCTTGGTATTTCCTCCTGACCCTGAACTTTACCTTCACCTTTACCTTCCAAACCATCATCAAGGTCATTCTCACTATCAGAGAGTGTCATCTGAGAAATGACAGTATCTGTAACTTTCCTCCTAGGTTTTCTTAGTAGTGTTATTTTATTTGGTCCCTGTTGACTTTTCTCCTCTATCTCTTCATCCCCATAATCTACCTCTGCAGTCGGCACATCTGCACCCCTCTCCCCATTACTCTGGTTACCAGCAGATTTAGGCCTCCTCAGCACAGTTTTACTGCTCACTTTGCCCCTGTTGAAGATGACATTATCTCGAATCAATCTTGGTGGTCGACTGGTGCCACTTATCTCTAAGTCTCTATCCTGGGCAGGACTTGGAGCTTGGTTTTCAACCACCCTGTGTCTTAGTTTGTCCGTGTCTACCTTCACTCCTGTGTCTACTCTACTCTTGATGTTCTTCAGGTTTATTTTCCCACTCTTGGGCCTATGGGCTTGATCAGGGTTCCGAGGGGTTATAGGTACTGTGATGTTCCTCTCCTCAGCAAAGGTGACGCCACGTCTGACTGGTTGTGACTGCATAGATCCAGAACCATCTCCAGAATTACTGGAAGTCTGGAGATCATTAGCAGCAACCACAGCATCAATGTCTTCCCCTAAAAGTCTTGACATTTCAACATCTTCATTACTTTGTTCAAGACCACCATTCTGTTCACTTTCCTGTTCTTTGTTAACATCCATGTAATCATTGAGAGGTCGCGAGAGAATTTTTGAAGGCAGATCTACGTTTGCATGTACATAGGCAAATCCTTTCTTTTTCTGCACTGTGATGATTCCATAAGAGGAGGCACTGCTTGCTATGCTTCTCACCTCAAGGTCATCGTCTACATTGTTGTCACCATTCTCACTGCCCAACAGCCTGAAACAAACTCAATAATTTACAGGAGTTCTAACACCATGTTAAAAAATGCTGTATACAGAAACTTTCAACTGTCATATGGGTGGAGATGTCTTGACCATGTGTTAGAACAATAATGTCTTTCAAATTGCTCACAATAAGTACATTCATACATAAAGCAAAACCAAGGAAATTATAAATTTAAACTCTCAGCTATTTAGAAATACTTAGACTCTAGTAAATAAAAATTAATAGCTTTGTGTTACTAAATTAATCTTATGATATACACAGGATAAAGTCAGAAATTTTAGATTATTAGTTCAATTTTATTATTCTCTTTAAGTATTTTTTATTTTAATTATTTATATAATTTTTATTAACTTATTTTGTTTAATAATATTTTCTCATACTTAGTGCATGGTACATTTGACCTTTTTTAGTTATTTGACTTGGACGGACTGGATAATTAAAGAAAAGGCAATAAAATGACAGCATAAAATTGCCCTACCTGTCAGTGTCAATCTCATCCTCTGGGTCTCTGTCATCAAACTGTGCACTAGGAAGATCCAGAGAGATTCTTTGTGGTTCTGGTGGCAGTGGTGGGATTTCCTCTTGTGCCCTGTGAAATCATGTTCTTTAAACATTTAATTGTTCCTCACTTTGCAATTCCACTAACATCAAAAAGTCACTTTAAAGAATATTTTAATGGCCTGTGATGGGGGTTAAATTTATGTAGCAAAAAAGCTTTTTCAACAATTTTCCCTTATCACCATGGTACAACTTTTTAAAAACACTGACATAATTAGGATATGTAAACCTATTCTTTTTTAATTCAAATTTCCAATTTTCTACCATCAAGGGTGAAATACACGAGTCTCTATCTCCTTTACATATATCCAATCACCTCATCAGATCACAGGAACTTCTCTCTTTCTATATTTAGGTAAGAGAACAAATCTCCAGTATTACATTAAATATACTAGTACATTGTCCACAAAATCAACCCGACCATTCCATATAGACAGCATCAGTATATGCTGACATATATAAGTGTAAAGCACCCCCACAAATAATCTACTCACATCTCACTGCCAGTGTCTGTGGATGTCATCTGTATCAAGTCTGGAGATGTCCTGGGTACTGGGGGTAAAGACTGGCCCTGCTTTCCATAGGACTGGTGGACTGAAATATCAATAACAGAAAAATACAGTCCAAGTTCTTTCATTTTTTCACCATGGGACTGAAGGAGTGAAATCACAATAACAGCAAATAAAGCATGATCTTTTTCATGCTAGGCATGGTGGACTAAAATCACAATAACAGCTATGGATCATCTCTGCTCCTTTCCACATCCACTTCGTTGAGATTTTGATGTTGCTTGCAGTGTATTTTACTTTCAACAATTGCCAGTCCAGTAATGAATAAATAATTAATTTGTCCTCTTTCTTGCCTTCATTCAAGCTGTTGGAAAAAGAGGACAACTACTGATTCATTATGATTGTCAAAATAAAATAAAATCGATTTCCTTTTTCAAGAAAAGTCAAACTTCTGACTAAATTTCCTATATTATGAAAAACAGAGCCTGTGGCTCATATCCCTGCCTGTCACAGTTCACTCAGAACTGAAATCATAATGACTGAAATAATCAGGTATCACAATTGATTTTTTCTCATGCTAGGTAAAACTGATAAATGTTGAAGCTGACATCCTTTGTGTAATTTGTAAGTGGTTTAGTGTTCCTTAATGCAGTATTAACTTTCTAAAGTAAAGAGTTGATACCAAACATTTGTACCTTCATACTGATATGTGACGTCACTGCAGTTTTTTTTTTTTTTTTGGCAATCAACTGCATAGTTACAAAAACATCTTGTTTTTTATTTTAATCTTAAGGTTTTTTTCTTTTTTGCTTTGTTTCACAAAAATGTATTTCATAGACATGAAAATCAACTCATTTGGTGCTCTCAACCCAACTAACCAACTGTTCTTATCAACATTTATCATTAGATCAGAGTTACATTTTTTTATTTCTTTTTTTCTTAACTGAAACTTGTCTTTAAATTTACCATCTTCACTTATAACCAAGCCAAGACATTTCACCAATAAAAATAGTATACAAATATTCAGTTACAGGTACAAGTATACAACCCAGATGTATCAACCAATGCATGTTAAATTATCTCTGATTAAAGTTTTCATAACATCACATCATATACACAAACCTGTCTTCCACAGTGGGGCAGATTTTAGGTCCTGTAGACTGTAAACTTGAATCTGCAGCATGGATGCCATTATGTCACCCTCAGCTGTTCTAAATAGCTAGGCTAGCTCCACAGGAAATCATATGGTTGACATAATGCACCAGTACTTAGTGTTAACTGTAGCTAATAACTATGTCAAATATTTGGAAAATTAGACAAATCCATCTTTTTCACATTAACATCATCAAGCTGGAAACATTCATTTGCAATGAAGAACATTTCACTTTGATAATGGTTCACATATGGTCTTCTCTTCTGAATTCTACATGAAGTGAAGCAGGTTCAGCAGATTCCTCTAATAGCCCTCTCCTAATGGTTAACTCTTTTTGCTTAATTTCCAATATTTGAAATTGTCGCAGTGTATTTAAGCAGCCTTCACATGTGATATGCTACCAGTCTGTATGCATGTATTCCATACACAGATCTTTAAACTTACATCCCCATACTTTACATATATAGTGTATTTACAGTTTGTTCTTGGGGTATCAAGTAACTATGAATGTTACTCCTTATTCCAGCACTTCACAAGCCTAGCAACCACAGCACTGGCAACTCTCCCATATTATACCATATGATACACCTCCCTGAACTTTATGTGTCATTTCCCAGACAAAATCTTTAAAAATGGGACCAGGGAGAAGTGTTTCAATACCTGTATCATTTCAGTCAATTTAAGATGAGACAATCAATATAGTCATGTGAAGTTACCTGCATTTGTGACTCAAGTCACGCCCGTGATTGAAATTCAATATAAAAAATCAATTGGAACCAAAGGCAAGTTATTCACTCAAGCTTTGTTTAAAGTTTATCAATTTCTATATATACTGTAGGCCTGTCTAAACAAACACAAGCCAGTTTAAGCTCCTATGTGCAAATAAAGGCTTAAAAGAAGTGAGTATAGCACATGCATCGGGTTACTACTGCAAATTCTCACCACACAAAAAGTAACAAGATAATCTCAACATTTTGCCATGTTTGAGCAGTATACCCCCTGTTCTGGATGTAATACTTGACTGCACAACAATAGGGTGTACACAGTCACACAATATAATTTAGTCTATGAATCACACTTCACTTCATAGCATAATACACAACTTAAGTCCCGTCAATAAGAGTGCGGTGGCTGTGCAGTGTATAACAGAAATCAATCCTATTATGTGAAATTACTCTCGGCTTGGTCCAATGTAAATCATCATTCAGGTCTTTTAAACCAAGAGGTGTACATCTACAGTAATCAAGGATGGCAATAAAAATTACAGCAAAATGTGTATGATACGTTAGATATGTAAATCTGGAAATAAGCCATATCATAGCCAATATTCTATCTTCATATCCACAGGGGATAGAGGGGCAGATTCAAGATACCACTTACCAAAGTGAGTGGAATAAATCAGGGGTGGATTTAGGCCGTCTTCTGGGTCTTCCAGAAGACGGTCAGATTTTCAAGTTTACATTGACAGGTATCTAATGTTTTCTGTCGGAAGACGGTCAAAAATGTAGGATGGATCAATAAAGATAATTTGGAAGACTGTCAGAAAATATCTCTGAATCCGCCCCTGTAAATAATCTCACACATACAGAAAATATGTCCAAATATCCTAACTTGCACTATTTCTCCAGAAATGCTAGTGGGGAAGGTGGGATGGGTGGTGAGGTAATGCCCCCCTCCTCCCCCTTCATATTCTGGATCTATCTGTTAGAGTGCAGTTAATTTCTGCATTTCTTTAATACTTGTAAATAAATAAAAATGGCATGCTTTTCTTTTGTGGTTAACTGTTATAACATACATGAGAGATTGTAATAATTTTCTCATTCACAAAAAGATCAAAATGACTGTTATAACTGGAAAGCATTTGAATCAATCAAACAATCCATTACATCTTTGAGAAAATGGTTCTCAAAATCAATATATGTCACTAAGGTTTTCTTTGATGGTGAGCCAAAAGAAGAAATCAATAGGAATACTGCTGTGCCCTATATTTATGCATTATTTCAGTTCTTACAGTACAGTGTGTTCTTAATTGACTTTGATGAAAAACTAAAGCTAAACACAGGGCTTACACACATCTTGTGTCTAAACTTTCCTGCCGTGATTGAAAAAACTTGTGATAAGGAGCTGACATATTTATACAGACGTGATGGAAAAAAAACTTGCTCAGTTGCAAGGATATTATGAACGCACTAGCTAATGAAATTATTTTCAACAGAATTAAACCTGAAAACAAAAGAAACTAATATTTGTTCACAATATAGACAACAAAGCTGAGCTTTTATCGGTGGAATCAACCTTGAGTACTCTAATACAGTGCTACATGTGTTTTCCAAATATATAAGACTGGATTCCCATACCTAAATTGATCTAGCAGGATTGATCCACCTCCGAGGGGTATCTCGCTAAATTGCTTTCAGCTGAAGTGGCTTAGATGTCTGCCACCCCTACTGAAGCTGTTAAATGATAATTAATTACCCCCTAGCAACTTAAGTAGATGTGACAGACATATAAGCCGCTTAAGTTGATTGAAATTTAGCTAGAATCCCCTGGGAGATAGATTGATCCACAGTTAGTACAATAGGGTCTGGAAATGGTCCCTAAATATAAGTTGTTTACGTGGGTGCTCCACTAGAACTGACATAAACTTCTCTACTGTGTGTATGTATGTATTCTACATCATTTTATGCTTTATTTTTTGTCATTTCAAACCTACTTGTAATGTCCACTTGGCTATTCATGAATTCTTGAAGGGACCGTTCCACATGTTTTCTGGAAAAATCATCATCCACACATGGGGAGTATCCCTTTGGAAGCCTCTCCTCTGGGTCAAACTTGGCACCCTTTACTATAAACAAAGACATAAACCTCTTATCTTTAACATTTAGCAAACCCTGTTAATATCTCACCTTACTTGTTCTTTAACAATGTAGTTATCCGACAATTGAACACCATAATTGTAATACGTTTTCGAGTAATTTTCATCAAGTATCTTTTAATTTAAACTAAGCTCAGTCAACAGATAGATAAAAGCAATGTCTATAAAAAAGAAAGAAAGAAAAGAATAAAACAAGAGCAACAAATAAAAGTTTTCTGAAGTTATGAATTAATGAATGAATAAATTCAGGAACTGCTAAGGTACTACCTCCAATGGGTACCCTACTGGGCTCCCCGGGGTGAGCTGGTGGAATAGAAGGGTCTCTGGTGTTGCCGTGAAGTTTGTTTTTCTTGCCACTGGAAGGTCTGTGTTTTTGCCCACTGTCTGGCCTTTGCCTCTGACTGAACTGCTTCATAAGCTCTGGAATGGAAGAGTTGCTGCCCCTGAAAAGACATGCATTTCAGTGATCATGTTGGAAATTTCCAGAACATGTTTTCACAAATTTAAAATAAAAATTCTAATCATGTTACTCCTTTATTTATTTTTAGAAGGGGGTGGGGGGTAAGCAAGTTTCATTAATTTTATAACTACCAAAGGCAGACCTACAAATATGTTTCACCTATTGAAATGTTAATTTATTTCATGTGTAAAAGAACAAATATTTTTGTTTGCATTATTCCCACAACTTGTACTAGAATGTCTCACCATGCAGTTTTCTGAGAGAGCAACCCAGATAATGTGTCATCTGTTTTTGCTATTTCCAGGTCAGAATGGCTGTTGGAGCGTTTCTTAAGAGAGCTGGAAGTTGCTTTAATGTCTCTGTGGTCTCCAAGTCCAAAGTTGTACACAGCTGCTTTGACCTGGTCTAGTTGATGTAGGGAAGCACTAGCGGGTCTGAGCCAACTCTGGAGATACAATGGTCCATTATTACCTTATTCAAGGTGTTAATGTACTATTATAAACATCTCTCTCTCTCTCTCTCCCTCCCTCCTCTCTCTCTCTCTCTCAATATTATCATCATTAAACTCTAATTAATTTAATGAAGATTCAAGACCAACCGGGGCATTCACTTGGTTCATTTTTTACATAACCATTAAAGATTCGACTGCTCGCATAAGAAAACTGGCTGCAATTCGTTGCTTGAAGTTAAACCTTATTGAATGCTGAATAATTACTTATGCAAACAATTTAGACAAGTTGATCTGCCTGTAACCTGTCACCATGGGACTTGGAAATGAATAACTACAGTATTATGTGAGCAACTCTACCTTAGAAGCAAGAGCCTGGTCATCTGGAACTTCTTCATTGTTGTCTTCCATGGTTTTTGTTAATTCAAGGCACTTACATAATGATTTTATGGGTTAGAATATAAATATAATTTCAAAGTACGAGCCAAAATCCACTACACGTCCGCCATGACAGTTTACATAGGAAACGGGGTTTGGTATGAGAAATGTTGTCTGATTGGTTTATTATTACATGAAACTTAAACCTAATTAGGTGATACCGTCGAAAGATTTTGCGAGTGCAATCGTGCTAGATACCTTTATTTTGGCTAACTAAAAAGAGGGATAAATATTCATGCCGTATGCTAACTACAGAATATTTATATTATTGTAAAAGTGCGAGTCTTCGAGAATCATTTGAGCCAATGGAATCGAAGATCACAACAGCACATTAGTCAATGCTGCACATGCGTAACAGGGGAAGCTTCCATGGCAATGTAATCCAAAACAACCTGTTCGATCGCATGTCAGGTACACGATTTCCTTAATTAATTCGTGTGACGGTATTCTTTGGCTCTGATGTATGCCGTGGAAGTTAATCCCTAGGTCTATCAGATTTAAATTGCTGAAACCATGTAAAGGTAAGCCAAGTGCAACGCCCGGATTTACTAGGCATCTTTAAACGGTTGATATTTTTTTCAAAATTCGACCACTGTCACTGAAGTCTGAACCCGAGTCTGAGTCTGAGTAGGTCATTGTCTAATCTGTTATCTCTGTTTTGATGTCATAACTTAAAGTGTATGAGTGATGCAGAATCCTTATACTCTGCACTGATCAGATATTAAATTGGTATAATTCGATGAAATATTCATAGGGCCTTTTTTATTTGAGATGTTTTTTCAGGGAGCTTTGTTATTGATATCTACTGTCTAGTCTACCAGTGCATCAAGCAAGTAATGTGCAATACCTTCAGCATTAAAGAAGAACATCATGTCAATTTTACTGTTAGTTAAACAGACTGTCCTGTAGAAATTGGAAAATGGAAACAGCTGCTCATATATGTTTGATTTTTTAAAAAAATTATTTATTTTTTTTTAAATCTACACATATGAGCCTGATTATGGCTAAGACCTATGATATTTTCCTTTCAGCGTTGCCAAATATCAGAGAAATAGAAAGTTAAGAATAACCAGGGGCAGTGCTCACTCAGACTCTGCTATCCAGCATGTCATCCACTGAGGATCCAAATCCCTCAAACGGAGATAATGATTCAACAAAGGAAAATGGACTCCAGGATGAGGAAGACCACCCAGTTGAGGCAGACATACCAGCTGACCCCGAGGAAGTTGCTAAAGCAAAACAACTCCTTAAACAATCTAGTGAAATCATCAATGTCCATCAGTTTTATCCAGATTTAGATGTACTGTTTGATAAAGAAGGTGTCACTAAATCTAGCACTTTGATTGATGAGACTGAGGAGACAAGTGGTGAGGAGGATGAAGATGAGGATGAGGAGGATCAATTGACAGATGTTACTGATGAGGGAGAGGAGAAACAGAGCATGGTGCAATATTCTGGTGCTGAGGGAGGAAGTGAGCAGGTGGGGAGACTGCCATTGATGACATGAAATCTGTTGGTTTCTCGTCATCATGTAGTGAGAACGTGAAGGGCAGCCAGCATCATAGCTATCAAAATGCAATGTTTTATTGGTCAATGTGTTAAAAAATGTATATGCATATCTGGGGGGGGGGGGGGAAATAAATGGATAATCAGGTTTTTGAAGAATATGCCTATGTGTGTATTTTTATTATAATTATGACTAATTTTTTTACAATTTAGATTTATATAGGCCAGATGTGATTGCTAAATATTTTAGTCTGTTTAAATTGCCATAATCATAAAAAATGATGATAGTAGCAACACTGACTTATCACAACAAATTTCAGGCTGAAGGTGGGGTATTTGCCACTGCAGTTAGTGAGGAAACATTGGCGGCAGCAAAAGAAAGAAAGAAGAGCAAAGGGAAGGCCTTTGAACCCCAGGCCTGGGAGCCCAACAAACCCACTCTCACCATGAGGGAGGTCATTGACACCAAGGCAGCTGAACAGTAAGGGCAACTAGTTGAAACAATTATCATAATTATTATTCATCAAAGGCATTTCAAGTGACTATAAGGGACAGAAAAAAATCAAATAGCCCAAGGTGTTAAGGTTTCTGTTCAAAATGTGAATATTTTGAAGTGGCAACACACATATCAGTGAAGTAATTCAAAGTGAACACATGTAACCTATGTGTTGCTAAATTGTAAGAACAAGCACAAAAACTTGTACGCTTTGTCAAAAGATTGTCTTTACATATGGTTTTACTTTAATTTTACCTCCACCAAGGTCGTTATGTTTTCACTTCTGTTTATCTGTCTATCTCCAAAAAGTTATGGATGGATTTTGATAAATTTTCAAGATGGGTCAGAAATGGGCTAACTTAAAAGTGATAAGATTTGGTGATGATCCATGTATTAAATTATGGTGGATTAAAAGTTAATTATTTGTCTTGGCATAGGTCTGCGCTCTCTGGGTGCTTTTCTAGTTGTAAACAATTTATTTTTAAGGCATCTCTGTCTCAATACTTTTCCCATTCATAAATTAAAGTGCACCAATGATGACTTAATGTGCTACTTTCTTATTCTAGTTTCCAAAATGCACTGGACTCACTAAGCCAAGATGATTACGACAGGGCAATCCTGTGCCTCAACAAATGCATAATACTCAAGCCTTGGGTTGTGGACTACTATGTCCTGCGGGCAGAGACTTTCTTACAATCCACAGACTTTCAATCATCAATACTCAATTATAAAAAAGCCTGTGTACTGGATCCTGACTGTGCTCAATATTACACCAGATTGGCTTTTATCTATTACATGCAAGGACAGTGTTTGTTTGATCAGAGGTTATATCCAGAAGCTTTAGAGGCATTCTCAAGGGCAGCAGAAATGCAGCCCAACATTGAAGGCTATCATACAAGGAGGTAAGTTAGTTTTAGCAAATAGGCCAAACCCCAATGTCAGTTTCATCAGAATTTATAAAAATGACTGGATATTTGGATCTACTTTTATGAAAAATTTGCTGGACCTAAGGCCACTTTGCTGAACTGACAAATGGTGGATTTTGAAATTGTAACTGGTCTAATTGGACTAATTGAATGCAAGTTTCTACAAGTCCTTGAAAGTTATATCAGTCATGGCTTGAAGAACCAACAGTTTCAGCATGTCTGTTTATCTGAATGCAAACTTCATGCAATAAAAGATCTGTTTTGAAATTGGCTGAGTTGCAAAGGGCTAGATTATTCAGAATTTTTTAAACCTGTTATCTAAGGACAATCCACAGGTAGAGGTGACATAATAGATTTGCTTCATGTGTAATATACTTGTTTGCACCATTTCAGCATAGCTTGCCTGGCAGCCCTGAACAGGCATGGAGAATGCTTGGCCCTGGTGAACAAGAGGCTGGAGATGGAGAATGACAACCCTGATTACTATGTCATGAGAGCCAGGCTGCATGACATGTTCAGAAATGTAAGTCAATAGTCACAAAATTAACCAGGGGAATAATCAATTGCACGTTAAGAAGGAAAAAGAATCCTTATAGTATTTGGATATGGCACTTTCCTAGTACAGTACTGAGTACTGTGTGGCATCTAGAAATGTATGTTGATTATTACTAGAGATATTGAACATTTAATTCTTTTTTCCAGTACACATTATGCTACTATGACATCAAGGATGCCCTGGCACTGTCCCCAGACCACCCTGAGGCTCTCAAGTTGAAGAAAAAGCTTGAAGACAAGGCTGAGGACTGTAAGCACCATGCTGTACAGCTTACCATCAATGGAAAACTCAGGGATGCTCTCCAGAAAATATCTCTGGCAATAGAGACGAACCCATCCATTGCAGAATACCATGTTTTAAGGTAGGGTTTGCTCATCTGGATCTGTGCAGTCTGTGCAAAAAAAAAAAAACTTTGTAGCTAACTGGCCCTTCAAACCACTGGGTTCTAGGAGTCCAAAGAAGAAAATGTGGTCAGTAACTGAAGTTCAACTCATTTACAAACTTATGCTGGCCTGGCTTCAGTTTAACTGTCATTTGGTGTGTGGCCAGTGCTAATGTTGCAAACTGCATGGGGTATAATTTTGTTTAACAGAGAATTAATTGCCTTACTGTCTACTGTTGATTGAATTCCTATTAATTGATGATTTAACCTTTTTTAAGAAAAAAAATACTAGTAGGTTCATTAGTTCCCTTTGGTAGAAGATGCATTTACTAGAAAGAGATTTTAGTCATAATTGAATTTTAGATTTTACTGTTCACTTTAGTTGATCAGCCATCAATTAATATTCAAACTTGGATTTTAGAACATTTCACTAGTGACTATGTTTTAAGTATCCTTTCTTTGCTTTAAGCAATGACTTTTTATCATTCTTAAAAAAAAAGAAAAGAAAAAATTATCAATTTTAGATTTTGTCAGTTAAATGTAAAGATGCCATAACATTTACCATTGTTTTTGTAAAGGGGTGCTGCTCATCGCCGCCTTGGTGACTTCAACTCAGCAATAGATGACTATCTGCTGGCCATGGACAAAACTGACCACAACGAGGACAGTCCAGTGTACAGAGATGCCCAGAGACAGCTGCTCCTCACATACAATGACTTTGCTGTGGAGTGCTTCAAGAAATGTTTTTATGAGGAGGCCATAATATTGTTGAACAAGGCAATAAAGGGAGAGAAGGATCAGAAGGGATTATATATCAACAGAGGAGGTGGGTTGTGGCACTGGAGGCTGAGTTTGACCTGATGAACATTTATTTTTCTTTCTAATATAGAGAACTCGTAGTTTAAATCTGGCACATAGTTTAACTTATTTAACTTTAAATTGATATAGAGTACAAATTTTTAAATTAACAACTGTATGTAGAAAAAAATCATTTTATTAAGGTTTTTGTTGGATATGATATGATGTATATATTTTTGTCCACAATCTGGCATGAGCATTATTCAAAAACAAATGAATAAACCCCACCTGTCAATTGATATATGTGATATCAGAACTATAATGGATAAATATGAAAAGGGTAATAATAGTCAAAAGTGGTTAAAATTTATTAAGTGAAACTTTTGATGTGAAAATATTATGTTCTCTGCAGATTGTTTCTTCCGTCTTGGTGAGATTAACTTTGCCCTGGCTGACTACCACCAGGCTCTGGAGCTGGACCCCATGAACCAGAATGTCAAGACCAGGATATCCATCATACATAATGAGTACGGTGTGGCTGACTACACAGATAAGAAATATAAGGTAATGGGAAGCTTATCAGTGCTGCCCTCTTCTGATTAAATAAGATAAAGACATCATTATGAGTATAGGTCGAAATCCTTTGTTTGTATCTTGCAGTATATTATTCCTAAAATGAACTCCATTATTCTTAGTAAATTATAATATATTTGTAATATTCTTAGGATATTATAATATATAATATAATATGCCATTATGCCAGTGTGTGTGTAATTTATATATAAGCATGCTTTATTTTTAAAATTGGACTCATTCCAAATTAACATATTATATGATATTAGATGCATTTGGTTGTGAGAGTACAATACCCATTCTTTAGTTAAATGAAGTAGTACTTGTTTTATATTTCAGGATGCAGAGGCTCGGTTCACTCTGGCTATTCAGCACAATCCTAGGATAGGGCAGTATTACATCTCCAGAACACGGGCCAGGTACATGCTGGAGGTGAGCCAGAACTGCTTATAGTGCTTTATTTTAAGCACTTTGCAAAAAGATCTTTCTAAGGATTATGAATTATTCTTAAATTAAGATAATAATTAAATAAAAATTTGAAAATTTGACTTAATGTGTGCATAAAAGCATTGTTTGAGGCCAAATTGCTTAAAACATATGTTTAGGTTATTTATTGTTAGGTTTAAAAAAAAAAGAATTTAAAGTGCATCATGATTATTTATTAGGTTATTCTAATAATGTTCTCCTCAAAACAAAGCATGCTCTTCATGGTTTCTGTTTACCAAACTTTGTAACAAAGCTTTTATGTGCATGTAGATGGTAATGAAATGCCTTTTAGTAGCAGCACAGATAGCAACAGTGACTTCTTTCTTGCCTTTTCAGAACCACAATGGTGCTCGCCATGACATAGTGATGGCACTGCACTTGGACCCAAGCAATGAGGAAATTCTTTCCTTGATCCCAAGACTCTTCCCTGGTAAATCAATCACAGACATAATGCAGAGCAAGACTGCTGAGGTGACAAAGATGGCTTTGCAGAACCTGTCGTCCACTGCATCTCCCATCAAGCTTAAGCCCATACAGTCTTCCGGGCAGTTACCTGTTGCAAGGTGGGTAAAACTCTGGATGTGAGTCTCAGATTAATTGGATTAGAATTCTCTTCCCTGTAGTGCCCAGTCAACAAGTAACTCCAGGAAAGAAGGAATGTTTGGTTCATGTGTGATGCCTCTAATGATACAAAAGACAACAATTTTAATGTGTAATTGCAAAATGTTTACTTATTTGAATTTTTTTTAATTAGGACACAGGCTCAATAATACCTGTAGTGCTTGTTTCCCTGAACAAATGAACACAGTTAATTTCAGATTAAGATTCTTAGATGGATATATCTTAATGTACTGTATAGACTTACTGTATAGACACATTATTTATGTTGAGTCTTCGAATAAAGATGCATTATAAGTGTCAGTTGTAGATGCGAAGCCTTAATAATCTTTTTTTATTCCACAGGCAACCTTCACTTGGTGAAGAAGATGGAGAAGAGGAAGATGATGGCACAGATGAGAAGAAAGGGGCTTTGGAAATCTCAAAGAAAGGAAGGAGACGGAAGAAGAAGAGAGAAAAGGTCTTCCCAGATTGGAAAGAATGTATGCAAGAGAAGGAATTTAATTTGATTGTAGCCCAGGAAAAGAAGCAGGTGTGTGATAATAAAGTACATGCTCAACCATTCTAAACTCGTGATGTTTTGTCTTGGTTCTGGTTATAAACTTATGAAGAGAAAATTAATTATGAAATCATTTAGAAACAATACTTAACTAAGATTTCAGTACTTTGTTTTATTTTGTGTGATGCAGTCATAATCCTAAAAGCTTAGAAATAAAATTTGATATGGTTACATAGATTCAGTGAATCCATAACATCCATATTGTATGTAATATACTATACATTACGTATAGAAAAAATGTGTTTTAGTATTTCATACTTTTAAACTTCAGATCTATGACAATGTAAAAGATGCCCTCCAGAACAGGAAGAGCCTCCGTTACACCAGTGGCAGGGTTCAGCCTCTCATAGAGCCGTCTCCACATGTGAGGAAATCCAAGGGCGGTGTGCTGAAAGAGGAAATCATACCCCAAGGTTCTCAAGCAGGCAAAAGTACAGGATGGAAACAGTTTACTCTGGGAATTGGACTCCTCAATGAATAGTGAACTGTTCTTGGTTATATTTATTGTTTCTTTTAAGGATTTCTTTTAATTTTATTTTGAATTGTTCACATGGTTGTTTAAAACAATTCAGATTAAGAAGAACACGTGTATGGAAACCTGAAAAAAGTATTTGTATGATTTTTAAAACAATTCTGGCATGAGGTAATTCTGGCAAGAAGATATATTACATGCATTCTGATGACTGGCTATAGGTATAGTAGTAATCTAGCCTGCAAGTTGCCTATTTTTACAGCTGAAATTTAATATTCATACATGAGTAGCCAGTCTCCCATGAACTTTAATGTCCACCTTCCAAACTTGCCCTTCTTATTGTCTAAGTGATGGTGCTACATGTGTGATAGAATAATTGTACAGTGCCAATAGCAATGTTAATTTTTGAATAAATATATAAATACTTTGATTCATATTTGTCTTGCTCTGGTGCAATGTATTTGCTGCGGCTGTATACTATCACATTTTTATTGGAAAAGTTGATAATCCTTATTTTCCTATAGGTAAAACACAATGTCAGTTGATTTTTGCAAGAAATCTGAGTTTCTAGAACTACTCGTTGACCTTCATTACACAGGCACTTTATGCCGTAAAAGATTTTGAATAAAAAGAGATCAAAATGCAGGCCTTGGCTGAAAAATTATTCATCCAAGAGCAGGCCTACTTAAATGAATACGTTTCCTCACACTGAGCACGATCCCTGCAGGACTATTTTTTATATCTATTTCGTCAACTGGCTACATGATGATATTGAAAATTAAAGGTTTTTGTGTATTTGTGAATATTTTCTAATAACCTACAAAAGAAAAAAGAACACAGAACAACAACGATACTGAAATGATCATGATAGTACTTTAAGTATGTAAATGGTAGAAAATAATAGCGTTAAAGGCAAGGTAGCGGGAATATCATTCTGAGTACTTATTACGTAGACAGGAAACTATTTAAGTTCAGAGAAAAAGGTATAAATTTTCATATACGGGGGAAAACTTGGGGAGAAAATACAGAACTTTCTTTCAATACTGCAAAGGCCCTAAGAGATAATGACGTTATTAACCAGTTTCAAAAAAATTCTAAACTAATCTTCGAAGACATCCGACCACTTTTAGTATCTTTGCTCAAACGAATCGGATGTCCCGTTTCTGTATGCCATTTCTCTTTCCATCAATATATACTTTTCGAAAAACTTTCCTTGAAGTACAAAAATATCATTTAACGTACAGATAAATATAGCACTTTGTGTAAAGGGCTAATTTTTTTCGACTGTGATCCAAATATAACAGTTTAAATATTAAATTCTAATGATTATAATAAAGTGTATTTAAGTTTTACCGCCTCGCCCTTCTCGTTTTAAAAATGAAATAAAATGAAATAGGACCGGTAAAAATAAAAACAACAATTTAGAGTAATTGGTAGAATACTAAGTTTTATTATTAAAAAGAGATGTGGGGGTTGTATGACAGCTTTAAAAAATAGTTTGCTTTCTCTAAAAGATAAAAGTTTACATTTGCTTGGAGGGAATTTAAAAAGTTCATTGGCAGGGTGAGTAGTGTCGATGTCGTTCATAATCTTTTCGGTTTTGGACGCTACTCTTTCCATATACACATTCACAGGTAGATTTATGTGTAGCACTCTGAAACCACCGCATCTTTGTATCTACTGTGATATTGAAGCATTTTATGTAACCAAAACAACAATTAATGTTCAGGTCAAGCTTTCCTTCCGTCATGCTTCCTTCTCCATCTTTTGCAATTGACAATTTTTTTTTTTTTTTTGTAACATTTATCGCGATCGTTTCCATACAAAAACTTTGCACCTATTGGAATAAAGGGGTATTCTCTATAATTACACTATACTTGTTTTAATCATCAGTGTGATGATTGACATTGTTTATATAATAATAAATCAAGCTGTCTGCATTTAATAGCTTTGACTGACACGTGAGCTAAAAGTATGTTTGCGGGATGATTGTGATTGACGTTTGTTTATATAACTGTCAATCAATATATCCGCGGTAGGAATTTGGTAAACAGGATGTAAACGTTTGACTAGACAGTTTCTTCTCGTATTCTGAGGGAGCCACTGATATTTTCGTTACCCACAAGAGCCTCTTTTTATTCCCCGAAATGAGTGAAATGTTCATTTTATTTAACGTAATTCGTGAAGCACCAAATTCCCGTGACTCGTAAATATTTATGCGTCTTTTTATTCTCCGTCCTTCGTGAAACGAAGTCATTATACCCAGTGATTCATGATTTTTCAGGATTTTTGACGGGCATTTTCAGCGAGAATTAAAGTATCATTTACTGTGATTTGTGAATTGACGATTTTATTTCCTGTGAACTGCGATCGCTACCACTCCAATGGGATTCTCTTTTCTACATCAGTCGTAGTTGAAGAGTGATAGATAATATAAAACTTGTTTTAACCTCTTTTTTGTTTTTTGATTCAAATAGCTCTCAGTATTTTTTTATGAGCGCCATTCTTCCCTATTTGTAAAATATCAAAACAAAACTTAGGTGGACTTTTTTTAATTACTCCCGTGTTAGAAATAAATGAATTGAATTAAATCACTGAGACGAATAAAAAAAGTATGTTTCGCAAGCCCACGAAAATACAAAATTTCGAAACTATATTTATTCGGAGAAGTTCCATTCCTTCTTCCCACTCGAACATATGCTTCAGGGGACGGGACCGTGACTCTCTCCGGAGTATTTTCTGATCGGCAGCTATAGTTTTCATCTGAATGTTTTTTGACATTGACATTTTTATAAAATCAAGGGCGTCAAAAAGTAAAATAAAACTTATCGTACCGTAAAAGTTTATATTACATACACCTCTATAGGAATTACAAATTTATATAATTCAGAATTAAATTTGACCAAAGCTTCATTTAAAATCAAGTCATCTCAAAAGTTGCCCGCACTAATACTTCACTCCACAAATTTTCATATTACCCGCATCTATACTACTGGGGTACCTAGCACCGATAGATACCATATAGCGTTACATCCCTTCATCGATATTAGATTATTTGGTTGACAAGGTCGACTTATCCTTTAAAGTACTTTTTTTCAGTGGAAAAAATGCATTGGTATTGGTGGGGTATGGGTGAAATTTTACAATTTTCCCCAGGAAAAACCCAAATACTGCTGTTTTTATGCACTATAAGCGCCGCTACCACTTTGGATTTGACCACCCTCTTTAAAGATATATTTGAAAAACAAAACACCGAATGACTAATTAGTTGCTATGTTCGTAAATCGTGTTTTTAAAAAACAAAAATACATTCCATCTACTGTACCGGCCTACCTTTAGCAGGGGCGGATCCAGGATAATCTAAATGGGGGGGGGGGGGGGGGGGGGTCCGGAACGACAGGCCTCGGATGCGAAGCCGACCATCACCTCCTAGGCGTGGAGTTCGGGTCCTGCTCAAAAGCCCCGAAAATTTTTTCGTATTTTAGAGTGCGGTACGGTTGAGAACTTTAATTCAGCTAGTTTTTTTTTTTTTTTTTTTTTTTTTTGGGGGGGGGGGGGGGCTCTGTGTAGGTTAATAAAGAAACAAAAAAGGGGATATCTTTTAGCCCAAAGATGGACGTTCCCCAACCTTAAGACAGGGTGCTCGGAAGTACAAATGAGGAGAAGTAAAGGAGTGTCCGTAACTTTAAAGCAATAAAACAGGTAGACATACAAAACCAAAACTAACTTCACACATCAAAAGGGCGTGCATCAACAGACGCCTTGAGGGAGTAGAAAATGAAGTACATTTCCTTACAGCATATACAAAATACGGAAACGTTAGACATATTTTGTATCAGGTACCTAAACAGCATTATGAAGTGTATACACATGGTATCAACTGAGAAAGTATTGATTTTTCCATGTAAAAACAGTACGCCGCATTCATCGTTGCTATTACTTGATTGTCTTCATATAACGGGGGTTCTGTCCATATTTTGGTCATACTCAATTTTTCACTTGAAAGTTCATACCTACAGGGAAGATGCTTACAAGGAATATACTAATAAGCCAACTTGTGACACCAGGTTTTGTTATCTTTAGAAATACCCGCTGAAATTAGCGTACCTTTAACAAAATAATTAATTTTTTAAATTTTTAATTAATATAAATATTAATATTCTTCTTAACACAGTTTGGTTGAAAAACCAAACTGTCGTAAGAAGAATATTGATCTCTCAGCTGCATAGGTCAACTATCTATAGTATGTTCAGTTACATAGATGCTCCGATCGCGAAATGGTGGAAAATCTTAAATGCTGGTAAAATTAAAGATTTATTGTCAGAAATTTTTTTTAAAAAATCATGTACACTGAGCAAAGGAACTGAGATCTCTAATGACGAAAAATTAAAACTTTTAGTAGTCCATTTCAATAGTAAATCAAACTGGCACACCAATATAGGAAAATGTTTAAAAATAAAATTACTCAATAGAGCATGGACTTGCGAAATATATTATGCAATAATACAACCACGAAACGAGGGAACCGGAATTTTATATCTGGGGGTTGCGTAGATGCCCTCACGCTATTTCTATACATGTATGATGTACATGTACGTGCGCGATATTGGCTATCCATAGCCCGGGTCTTAAATGAGGTTACACCCGAAATTAAAAAAATTAAGTATTCAATACAATAAATCAAACAAATATTTTACAAGCTGTCTTGTTTATTGGTCGCTGGTGCTTAGTACTGGAAATTGACAAACCTTTTCAGAATCACATGAAAGCAACTGTGTTTTGACACATATCTGTAAACATTCATTGTCCTATAGCTAGGAATTTCTAAACTGAGTCCTATGAGGTTAGTAATCAATGTCTTTACTTTGAAGCATTCAGGTACCCTCTATCACAGAAGTTAATATTTTCAAAACTTCTGGATTTTTTACACATAAACACGATCCTTATGAAAATTATATTAGTTCATTCTGGGTCTATCATCTATCTACAAAATATTTTGACGCGAAATTACCTAAAATTGTGGCCTTTATTACATTGCCGTAAAAAAAATTACCACAAGCTCACAAACGCACATACACACAAACGACTGATTTTCATCTTGGGGAAGATGTAAAATTCACCCCCAAGTTAGAAGACGGTGCATATTAGAAATTCAGGCCCTTCATTCATCTCAGTGTAGGCCAGGGTGGCCTTATTGTCCTTAATACATATCGATCGAAAATAAAGTTGATATGAGAGCACCATCAGGCCCGTAGCCAGCAATTTCAAAAGGGGGGTTCGTTATCTAAAAAAGTGGACCTTTTTCCATAAAAACTTCATGTACCTAGATCAAATTTTACCCAGAGTGGACCTTTTCCCAGCAAAAAGGGCGGTTCTTTTGAACCACCCGAACCCTCCTCGCTACGGGCCTGACCATGCATTACATTACGTGTACAGTGTGAAGCTAGGAGAAGTTTATCAGCCCAGCCAATAGTTTTACCAAGGTACAGGGAAAGGGAACGGGTGATTCACCTGTTACATGTACGGAGTTTATCTGTGATGACATTTTTAAAATGACAAGATACATATATTAACTGCTGTTTTCAGCGTGGACGTGTCCGGTAATCATTGCAGGTAGTGGGCACGAGTAGATCTAGGCCCGTAGCAGTATCCAGGTTATCTAAGAGTTGGAAAACTGGGTCACCTGTACATGTAGTAGTTGATAACAAAGCAAACTTTCCGACCACATTCCCAAGTCCGTGTGTGTATTTGAGGCGATGGGGAGGCACGCGGTGTTGAGGTGGGTTTTACACCAAAGTTCCTGGGGTCACCCGCCTCGGTGGTCATGCCATGCTGCAGCCAGGCTGACAGGTGGGTTTAGTCAGCAGAAACACACCCTGTACTCCACGCAATGGCTACGAAGCTTCGGGTCAACGCCCCCAGTAAGGTCAAGCACTATCGTGAAAAGTCCGTACCCTGATTTAGACCTTACCACCAAACCCCTGGCTGAGGATGTGATGAAGGACTGGGCTAGGTTCGGAAACCACATGGCGCTGGTATGCACTAGTGTAATACAAAATGTTTTTTCAAATTAAATTTTTTGGTCGCGGTACACTGGTTTGATCAAGCAATTAAATCTATGCTCCTCAACGTACACAAAACAGACTCGTTTTTCTTCTGACTGCCTTCTAAATGTACCGGCAGTAAACTTCAGTCACATATTGAACTGGTTGGTACATGCAAGTTGCTTGTGATATTGCTGGTATTACGTGTTGGTCAGTTAAAAATAAACCTGTCCCCGGTTTCACAAATTCTGCGTTTCACGGTCTACTACTTGCTGTTCATACCAACTGTGTGCATGTGACCATATAACGTTGGTAAGGAAGAAGTTAGCTACTTTAAAACCGACTTAAGTTTTTGTGAAACTGGGGCCTGGTTTATAACATCTCACAGGGCAACAGTCCAAATTATATATCTACAACTAATACCGTTCATACATGTACGATCACCATGAATGTTTACTTGCCCCAGATGTATGAAAGCCTTTTTGTTCTCACTTGCAAAGTCAAAACTCCTTTGATAAAACGTGATCGCTCACGCTTGCACTCTCTCTCGTGCTCCCTGTCTTTATATTACCTACTAGTCTGTCTATCATTGACTGGATGGATAGTTTCTGCTTTTACAAAGGTTGTACATGTATTTAAGTGGTATTGAGCGTGCTTTAAAAACATCGCACAAAATTGAAAGAGAAAATGGTGCCAAACAGGATTTTGAAAAATATGCCATCTACTATATTCCAGTTAAATGCCATAAGACATTACTACATGGTAAATTATTATTTGTCAAGGTTGACGGAACCACGGGACAAAGTTACACCTACTCGCAGCTGAAAGACGCCGTGATTCGCTGTGCAAGTGCATTGGCTCGGCTTGGGTTCAAGAAGGGGGACACGTTAGCGCTGTACAGCCCCAATGTGCCAGACTATGCCACGGTATTCATCGCTACGGCTGCTCTGGGAGGAACAGTGACGTGTGCTAATCCTATGTACACACCAGGTAGATTTGCGTAATATCCTCTCTTTCCCGCCCCCTTTTCTCTCTCTCTCTCTCTCTCTCTCTCTCTCTCACACACACACACATACCATGGACATAATTTCTCATTATGTCCATGCACACACACACACTTGATTACAATGTTATCTGACAGAAAAACCCTTCTGCGCAAATGCTTTAATACACAACTAAGAAATTTCCCTGGAAAGCAAATGTAAGAATGTATCATGTACGTTTTGAAAAATATTGTTTTCATGAGGATTAATGTTATTTCTCTTTTAATTTTAATATTTATGAGTAACTTGCTTCTCGCTCAGAAGTATACGTAACTGGGTAATTTATCATTGTATTGTAGAGGAGCTTGGTAATCAACTGAAGCGCTCAAATACCAAGATTTTAGTAACTCACGAAATGGTGGCTGGGCACGCGAGGGATGCCCTTGCCATGGCGCCGAATGTCAAAGAAACTATAGTCTTCGGTAACGTGTCGGGATTTCGCCCATTTACTTCCATTCTTGAAGATGACGGCCACGCTTTCCCGGAGAACGTTGACATCAATACCAAAGAGGACGTGCTAGCCCAGCCTTACTCTAGCGGGACGACGGGTTTACCTAAAGGAGTGATGCTTTCTCATTACAACATCACATCTAACATAGCCCAGTTAAAGTGAGTGAAGGTACACCGAATAGATACAACCTGTGGCAATGGTGAAAATATGTTTGTGAAAGAGAACATATAATAGCCAAACACATAATTCTAGTTCATGTTGACTTTTGGATGAAGTTTGTATTTAAACTTATGCTGGTAAAATTTGGTGGTACTGCCTAGGAAATGTTTTGTAAGATGCACCCATCTTTGTATTCATATGCATGCACATACTGCACACACACGCATGATGCACCAAATGAATCCAGCTAAGGTGATTATCTGTAAATATTCTACTACAGAATTAGTGTGTTTATTTAAAATACGCGGAAGTAATTACTTGTCATAAGTATGTTTGCCGTTTGCTTTCAGTAACGAGAATGTGATGAACTATGAGGGTCCGGAGGAGGTGTTGACCGGTCTGTTGCCATTTTTCCATATCTATGGTCAGGTTGTGGTCATGCTCACAGGACTTAAGACAGGAAGCAAGATTGTTACTTTGCCGAAGTTCCAGCTAGAATACTACCTTGAAACCATTCAGAATCATAGGGTGAGGGCATAATTTATTCGGTTAACAAGGCAAGTTTTGAAGAATATCACTAAGAATTTCTAGTGATAGCAATGACTCTTGGAAAACTGTTGTATACAAGATGCGGAAGTCCGCTTCATACATTCTTTGTCAACCTAGGAACGTGCATTCACGGCACATACTGCTCGCGACATTACTACGGTCTAAGCAGTGTTAAATGATTTTCAGAATGTATGCGATGTTCTTAAAACTGCGTGAAAAACTTTTGGCTTATATTAGATCAGTTGGCATTATTTATAAGCTTTTGATTCAGTGTCAGTCTTAAGACTACTGGCTGCGTGTAGGGAGATATTCAGGACAGACAGTGTGCGCTGAGATGGCGTCGTGTTCATAAATTTGTAAGTTTCGGGACTTTCGCGGAAATTCAAGAACTGTGCTTTATTTTATACGTAAGTGACTAGTAATAATTAAGACATGGTAGCAGAGTTCATTACGCGTTTCTTAATGTGCAATATATCCCGAATCGAATCGTTTTTCAGCCAATGATCCTATAACTGGTGTGGCTTGAATCCTGTGATAAATTGGAACTTGTTGGCCGCAGATCGAGCGAATATTTTACACCGAAAAATAAGCTGCAATATGTTCAAAACGGATGTGGCGCGAAATTTCTTCTTAGACGGACTGGTAGCTTGTAAAATGGACATAAAGAATACTGATTGGGAGCTACTTATTTCATTAAGCAATAATGGTATCAATACTAGAAATGTTTGATTTTATAGCTTATTTCCACTCCACATATGAGCCAATGTTGAAGTTTATATCCAGTTGTCCTTCGAGGTTTTAATGAGTTTTTTAAAAATCTGTTTGCATCTCAAATCTATTCTGACCATGCAAAAATTTAGATCTGTTGCAGTTCTTGTTTTTTTATATAGATTTATGCACACGGTAAGAGTGTGTCATCTAGAAATAATATAATTTTCAGAAACGAGTTTCTTGATTAATTTCTAGGCCACCATTCTTCACGCGGTGCCTCCTATCATTATCGCCTTGGCAAAGAGCCCTCTGGTGGACAATTATGACCTGTCGTCTGTCAGGAACCTGGTCACGGGAGCGGCCCCCTGCACTGAGGCCATTGCCTCACAGTGTGTGGAAAGACTGAAATTGAATCGTTTTCAACAAGGTGGGTTAACTTAGTAAACGTTTCTAACAAGATGGGATTGACTTAGTAAACGTTTCCAGCAAGGTGGGACTGAGTTAACGATGGTTTGTGCATTTTAATGTGCATGTATTTGAACTGTGAACTGTTGGTGGCTGATTGTTAAATACTTGTAAATTGCACACTCGTTGCACACACGTTGCACAAACGCAGACGCACACACACACACGTACGCACGCACGCACGCACACACACACACACCTAAATAGGATGTGACATAAATCAAGCGTGGCAAGTTTAATTTTAGACTTACATGTAGATGAAGGATAAGATTTTCTTTTCATAATTAAGTAGAAGTTCCTCTCCCCGCATACTAAAATGATTTTTGTTGTTTCTGAAGATTTGATTTTACGTGACATATCAATGAATAAATCATGTCTCTTCATCTTTTTTTCCTAGCCTACGGGTTGACAGAAACTAGCCCTGTGACACACTGCAATCCTCCAGTTGGTTATAAATTAGGTTCTATAGGGTTTGCCCTGCCAAACACAGAGTTCAAGGTAAAATCTTGTAAACGCATATGATAGGTGCGTGTGTGTGTGTGTGGGGGGGGGGGGGGTGGGTGTGTGTGTGGTGTGTTTGTGCACGCGCGCGCGCGCGCGTGTGTGTGTGTCTTTGTGTGTGTGTGTGTGTGTGTGAGAGAGAGAGAGAGAGAGAGAGAGAGAGAGAGAGAGAGAGAGATTATGTTACATACCTGTNGGGGGGGGTTGGGTGGGGGGGGGTGATGGGTGTGTGTGTGTGTGTGTTTGTGCACGCGCGCGCGCGCGCGTGTGTGTGTGTCTTTGTGTGTGTGTGTGTGTGTGTGAGAGAGAGAGAGAGAGAGAGAGAGAGAGAGAGAGAGAGAGAGATTATGTTACATACCTGTAACATTCATTCATTGTAGGTAATAGACCTTGAAAACGGTGCAGATCTGGGGCCTATGGAAGAGGGAGAGCTATTGGTACGAGGGCCACAAGTTATGTTAGGTTACCATGACAACCCAGAAGCCACAGCTAACACTATCAAAGACGGCTGGCTCCATACAGGTACGACTTAAATAATATCATAGTATTCCTTACAGTTTGTAATCAAAAGACGCCTGAAGACTAACACTCTCACAAACACCATGCACGATACCGTTGAAGGTATAAATTCGTTCTGACATCATACCGTTCAGTTCACTCTCTCTCTCAATTCAACTATGAGGCATGGGACAAACTTCGGTTTGGATAAAAATGACTTATGTTTTGAATGCTATTGTATGGGAAATACTAAAATATCAAAAAAGTAAGAAACTTAAAGTTGCATAATTCAGAAGAGTTCTTTTTTTGAATACATCTAAATAAATGTTTGAACGTCATATGCATTGACGATAAAGCGATGGCATTTAATGAAATATACAATGTTTTGACAGATCCTTCTCTGTCTTTCAGTGCAGGTTAGTTTATCAAACAACCAGTTCTCAAAAATGAAACAATTGCAGGTTGACCTGAAACAGCACGTGACTTACGTAAAAAGAGTTATTTTCTGAAAGTCTTGTTTTGACACAATACAAAACTGAAAATAAAAACACAGAAAGACTTTTTATTGAAATGAATAATGGTTTTACAAGAACAAAGTATTAAAATGCATAAATATAGCTACTATTAAGGTGATTGTTCTGCTGTTCAGGTGACATTGGGTATCGTGACCAAGACGATCACATGTGGATCAGTGACAGGGTAAAGGAACTCATCAAATATAAGGGATTCCAGGTGGGTATGAGTTTTCTGAAATGTCCGAGAATTGGAGAAATATTCGGTTTTATCAACTGAAGCTCATCATAAGATTGAAATAGGCTCCAGCGGGAAAATCAATTAGATGGGATTAGGCACATCTTGTAAGGGGTTATTCAGAATGAGAAGAGCCGAGTGCTAGCTGGTACACGGCCTAAATATGGCGGAGCGACATGAAAGGGAGACAGCTTATTCTTCACGGCTCCCCACGCGTCGTCCTTCGACCTACAGGGACGACGCGTGGGGAGCCGTGAAGATTAAGCTGTCTCCCTTTCATGTAGGTCCGCCATATTTAGGCCGTGGACCAGCTAGCACTCGGCTCTTCTCATTCTGAATGGTCCCTAAGACAGAGCGTGCCACTGTGTACTCTGTTTGCTTTCTTACTTCAATTTACGGTAATAACTCAGTTTCTTTTGACATTTGTAGATCACATGATCACTGATATTTATGCCGTAGCGTTTTTTATGTTTCCCGACTGGGCCCTCCGCGAAACAAAATTCTGCGATTTAACTTCTGCTGTTGTCGTCATAGCCTTGATTTCTATCTTCACAGGTGCCTCCAGCAGAACTTGAAGGGCTGATCCTAGCGCATCCTGCAGTGCAGGATGTCGCAGTGATCGGTATACCAGACGACATTGCGGGAGAACTGCCCAGGGCCTACGTCGTCCGCAAACCCAACATGGACGTCAAAGGAGAAGAGATTGATGCATTCTTAGACGGTGTGTATACTCAGAAAATGTTGAGTTTTAAGGCAAATATTAATCAAATAATACACTACAATTACATCAATACTCATAGGTCTGAGTTTTTTGACGACAAGAGCATTAATATTTATTATTAATGAAAAGAATGTTTTGTTCCAGAGCACATAGCACCGTACAAAAAGCTACGAGGCGGCATAGAATTTATTGATGAAATCCCGAAAACGGCCAGCGGTAAAATATTAAGACGGCTGCTAAAGGAACAGGCTTTGAAGGGCAGATAAGAACAGGACCTTCAATTTTGCGATGAACGCGATAATTTTATGAGCATTCACTATCGGATTCAGGGTTTTGCTAAAGAAAGGAGGGGCTCAAGGATAAAAAATGATAAAACAGTAGACAGGGACAAATTTTCTGCAATACATGTATATGGGGCACAGGAATAGACGAAATATTGTCTTTATTTAACTGTCTTGTTTTGTCTCATTTCTTGTAAAACAGTATTTTGGGAGGTAGAAAATGGAAGAGTGGGACCAGTGTGTAGTTTGTATTCGCGGATTGTTTATTAGGTGTCTCAGGCGAGTATCAGGTATAATCAAGAAACTGACTAATATTTAGCAATAGCAATAATATTCATGAATTATGACATTCTAGATAACTTAGTTACAGAGTCGGATCATCGTGTTTTTTTTTTTTTTTTACTAATAGAATAGATAAAACTTTTTCAAATAGGGACTCTCTTACTTTTATGCTGAAACTGGTCCAGGAATAATAACATGTGTATTGTTCGATCGACAAACACGTTATTTTCACAAATATAGTGAGAGTAACACTCAGAGCACTCTTCATTGCAGTACTTCCTACTGTAATACCCCATTATTCGAGTGAAATTATCGAGCAGTTCTTTTACACGTACATGTATAATGAACTTTTTTCTGGTGCGTTTTTCTTTTCGTATATATAATGCACGCAGTTATGATATCATTCTTTTGTTTAGTGATTGTGTTAATTATTTTGTCAGTTCTGCATTTTACTCAAATGAACTTTCATATATTACATCTATCGCAGTCGGTTGGTCCATGCTTTAAACTGCGTCTGTCTACTGGCAATGATATATAACAATACTTAACGATTTTACAAACATAATGTCTTTTCTCAGACTGTTTATACAAGAACAATACCTGATTTATCGTTAATATTGTTGAATATTGATGAATATTGTTGATTGATTTAAGGGTATTATTTTCTAACAGTATTATGCTCTGGTGATTTGATTATGAAGTTCTAAGCATTTTGTGATCTAAGCGGTAGTCCGAAACTCATACGCACAAGAAGCGTGTATATCTTACAGATATTAATATAATGGGCAATAAAGTATTATATATTGTTATACTGTCTGGGTCAGTGATTGTCTTATAAGTTACCACATTCGGTGGGTCGATGGGTACCCATCGTATATCCCCACACTTCTCCACATTGTAGAGTAGCTCACCCTCAGGGACCCCATTACCTTGATATCTATGACAGTGCCTATAGGTCCTATAGAGGGTCCTATATCTTTAATTAGTGAAAATAACATTCATATGATAACAGTATAAAAAGTATGGATGAAAAAATGCTTTATTTAAAAAAGGAGAATCATCTCAAGGGACGGATCCAGGCACTTTTTCCGACAGGCTTCCGAATCCCGACACAGTTACATAATGCAATGATTATTTATCACCATTATTATTATTATTATTATTATTATTATTATTATTATTATTATTATATTAACACCGTTGAAAAATACAAATAGTTGAAATTCACAAGGAGATTTTATTTTTAAAAAATGTGGTTGTCTTTTGAAACGTTTTCAAATGGTATGATATGAAAATACTAAATGAATGGTATTATGTGAAGTGGCCGAGTTATCGGTCTCTGTATTGTAGAATGTTGTGTGGACGAGCCTATCCCTGAAATATGCTGACAGGTAAGGCAGCAATCTATTGGCAGAATGTTCTTCTTCCCCGTCGAGCACAAGTTTTATTACAAAAAAACAAAGGGGGTTGGATAGTCATTTTGACATATGAGAACAGAGATCATGGGAGGAATGTGATTGAAACTACGTAATTTTCCAAATATTTAAATTGCATACTGTTTGTAGTAACTGCACCTCGATTCGATTTGGTGATAAAGGACATGCATGGCGAAGCTGATACTAACAGAATGACAAATGCACAGACAGGCAGACAAAGGGGCCGTTCAGAATGAGTTTAGTCGCAATAGCTAATGCACACTAACTCCACGGGGACTCTTGTTGAAAATAACATATGTTATATGTGAAAATCCTTATGATGAAAAAGCAACTATTGAGGCGTGTGTGTATGGACTTAGTTCTTGGCTCAAGTCTAACTACTTTGTCTTCAATGATGATAAAACTGAATTGGTCCATTTCAACTCTAAGTTTTCCAGAGACAGCACCATACTAGACAGTATCAGAGTTGGAGATTCTGTTACCACAACAAGCACAGAAGTTAGAAATCTGGGTGTAATTTTCAACAACAAATGTGATATGACATCACACATTAACAAAGTGTGTAAATCATCATTTTAGTCTGCAACGAATATCTAAGATTCTTCTCCTTATTGACAGCAAGCAAACAGAGCTAATCATCCATGCATTTGTGACTTCTAGCCAGAGGGTGCATTCCCAGAGATTTAGATCGATCCAGATATTTAGATTTAGATCGACCTAACTCCCTGGGGGTTCACGCTAAATTGCAATCAGCCGAGCGCACACCATAGTTACTTACCCCCTGACAGCTTTTAGTAGGCGGGACAGACGCTTAAGCCGGCTAAGCCGACAGTAATTTAGTGAGACTCCCCACAGGGATAGATCGATCTAAAATCTATGGGAATGGGGTCCTAGACTCGATTATTGCAACAGCCTCTTGTCCGGAATACCTAACTATTAAATGGAAAAACTTCAGTCTATTAAGAATTCAGCAGCTCGTCTCCTTCGAAAAACTCAGAAGTCTCAACACATCACACCAGTACTCCGCGATCTTCATTGGTTACCAGTCTCTCGAAGAAAAGTTTATAAGATTTAACTCTTTTAAACTTTTCTTAAGTTTTAAGTTTATAAGATTTTACTCTTTGGATTGGATCGAAGGCCAACAGTAAAGAGATAATGTGTAAAGATGATAATCTTAAATGGACCTGCGATTCATTCAATATATTAGGTTTAATTTTTATTCCTGATTAAAATCAAATGGAAGAGTTGAATTACACCACCAAGCTTAAGTAAATAGAATCTGAAATTAATCAGTGGGGGAAAAAGAAATATTACTACTTTAAGTAAAATTACAGTTATGAAGTCTTTACTTATCTCAAAAATAACACACCTACTGCTTTCACTCCCGACCCCTAGTGAAGAGTGGGTCCAAAATTTAGAAAATTTGTTACACTGTATATAAATTTATTTGGCATTTTAAAGTTGAGAAGGTAGCCCGCAAAACACTCATTCAGAATTACAATCAGGATGGTTGTGGCATGATACACTTTAAGTCCTTTGTGAGAGCCTTAAAACTTACATGGATACACAGATTGATAACCACTGATAAAGTCACGAGTAAACTATTTTCTGAAGCCACTGGATCGGATGTTCGCAGATTGACTCAGTTTGGAACGATATACACACACACGAATTATCTCAAAGGTGCAACCTATTTTGGAAAGACATTCTTGTATATTTTTCAGAATTCTCAGAAAAAATGCCAAACAATAGCATAGCTGAAATTTTGAGAGCTCCAATCTGGTAAAATTCTGCTCTATGATCAGATAACAGAAGAATATACAATAAAAATATGTTTGACAAAGGTTTCCATATTATCCAATATTTATTTAGAAGCAAGGGAATTTTTTTATCATTGGAATATCTTGTTGATGACAGGAATTCAGATTCCTTTTACACTCTACCAAGGTTTATAAGAAGCAATCTTTGGTGCTTATCCTGTGCTTAGACATCTGAATGCAAATGTTATGCTGCCATTACTACAGGTCCCAAGTACAATCCAAACATTATGCAAAGATAAAAAAGGTTGTCGAAGAATATATATATATGTGTGTGTGTGTGTGCTTGGTTATGTGTGTTTGTGTGTGGGTATAAGTACAACTAAAATAGCGTTTATTGAATTATCTCCTTTTTGTACACAGTTTACATTATCGATGAATAAAAATTATTTAAAAAAAAGATTTTACTCTTGACTTTTAAATTTTGAAAGGGCGACTGTCCATTTTGTATGAACAAAATAACAGATCTTTTAACACCTCTTAGATCTCTTGTTATTATGTTGCCGCATATGTTTTTGAATCGTTTTATTAACACATTAAATAGGCCGACATCTCTTTAGTTTGAAGTTCATTCTCTCAAAAAGCCATTACTAGTGCTTTGTTCAGCACCAGTCTAGATTGACTTATATCCTCTAGATGCAGCGACAGAAGTTTGAAGATCAAATGCCTTAGTGTACATAAAAACTTACCAAATCTTGTTTATATAACAGGAACAGTATTGTTATACATTTTGAATGGGAGTGATGGATTTTCGCAGCTATATTTAATCACCTTTGTGGCCTTAACAGATTCATTTAGGCCTACAGCTTTTTTGTCACTGTATGGGAGTGGCTCAAAGAAGATGCTCAATGTCTGCTCAATCATCGCTCAAGGGTCGCCTGCATCGTCTAATCGCACAGGGGATGCAGGCAAATTGCTCAATGGACGCCCAGGTCGCTCATACTTATTCATGAAAATTCCAGATTTGGTCGTTCAAAGGATGCACCAGGGTCACAGGAGCATTTACAAAGAGACACGACTTCCTGTCCATATCTTTACTTTGTCGTAGAAGGGACGCACAAATGCCTCAACTCAGTGTAAAGGGGGCTTAACACATATACTGTGGTATTTAGCCTTAGCAGCCGGAAAATCCTCGTTCTGTGATGTAATGTGATAGCAAGAAATGCACAATGACCATCTAATAGCTTCCATATGAGAACTCGACGGATGACGGTAGTTGCAGCAATCTGATCAACGGCGGGTTAGATAGCAGCATATATGAGGGTTTTTTTCACTCCTGTTAGATTTCTAGCAACTGCTATGTAACAATACACATACGCTGGTTTAAAACCCCATTCCCTGTAACATGAGGTTCAGGTGCGCTGGCTTCTAACAAACTTGCACATCGTTTGACTTTTTTTCAATAGCTTCCTTTTTCGTATGCCAAACATGTAATATTTATCAGGAATAAAACATTGAATATACATAGGTTATGGAGTAGAAATCAAAATGAGATACAATGACGGGATCAGGAATTTGCCAGTATTTATGTGTATAGGGCATTGCCAACACATGTGAACCGCCAGTTGCTCCAGCAGAGCATTCATGCATAAAGTAGACGTACTATTTTCAGAACGCGCTTTTATTTCAGGCTATTACAGGTAGCTATACTTTATGGACAATGCATAATGACATCAATTGGCTTTGGAAGACAATTTATAAATTATAAATAGATTTATAACTGATATCAAATAAGCCAAAAGATGCGTGTCGCACATGATAAAGAATATACGATGCTTTTTTTACGTTTTTACATTTTTACAAATATTCTATTTATCATTTAGCTTGCGCCTTGACGACTTCACGTGTGAAACAAAAATAATGATTTAAATTGATACGCAATTGCAGAAATACGAAGCGCAGTATTATGTGTGACATCATATAACAAGACAAATGAAAGTTAAACATTTGTGGAAATATGACCGCCCAAATACTCCATATCAGATTATGATTATGAATCGAAATCATTCCTTGTTTCGTAACCTTCAAAATTAAATGTTTATTTAAAAGTTAGTTTGATCTAGATTTTTGGGGCTTCTATCATCTTTAAATTAATGTGATTATCGATTAAAGATTGAAAACTTAGCTGAAAGGTCTATTTTCGCACTTTTCGCCGACTTTAGCGCCCTCGTTTAAAATTACAGTCCACTAGGTTTATTGGGCAATATCAAAAGTAAATACAGGTTGTCGAAGAAAATTACCTTATAAGCCTATTTTTGGAATCATCCACCAGGCTACAGTGAGGGAGAAGAAGAATTTTATAGAATGGATTCATTGTTCCGTGTGACAGCTATATTCAGAACCCTTCAGGTAGCTACATCTACATGCACATCTACATGTACATGCCACTGAAAGTAGCAACAGGCGTACTCTCTGACCACAGGGTGCGCTAGTAGTCTGTTACGAAATTATTGTATCGCCGATACTTTAATTTTGTATGTTATTTAATCAGAAGGTACGACAAATGTGGATGTAGGTCACTCCTTTGTGCAAAGGATAGCGGGATACAATCTTTGCCTTTCCGGGAAGGAGTTTGGTAGTAAGATACCGGTACATGTGCCAGTGGCTTGAAAGGGCAACTTGGATAGGTTTAGCGATCAATTGAGTGATAGGTGAGCCAATAGTTATTATTTACATGTGATGTACACTGAAATGGGTATTTATAGTTATAGGTATATAGGGGTGGAATGGTGTTGGGGGCTCCTACGGGGCCCGGGACACTCTTAAATCGCATTCACAACATTGGACTAACAAATCTACTTGTTGCGTAATTCCCCAGGGAATCTATTCAGTGTCTATTAGGGGGTTGCGCGGCAAGCTTTTAAGTGGGTCGGCCATATTTATATGACCTGTTTGTCCGCGGATCAAATTGTTCTGAATGCGGCCTTAAAGAGACAGTGTTAATATGTTCATATATTGACACATGTATTTTGATATAGTTTTATACTTACCAAATGAGTATTTTGTCAGCTGACATTTCGAACGACATGTAAATGCATTAAATCATACTTTGTTTACATTCAGTATAATTATGTCTCGTAACATCGATTTGTTTTCGTATTTAAAGGTTCTCTTTCACCTCTCAGTTCACTTTTTTTAACAAGGTTGACATCATAGTTAACTTTGTTTAAACAGAAGGGCCCGAGAACACTGCTACAACATGAACTTCGACGACCTGCTGAAAATACTGGGAGAACTTGGAACATATCAAAGACAGAGATATGTCTTACTATGCATAGTGGCGGTTTACTCTGTTACATCCACAGTTGGTATTGTGTTTTACGGCATAGAGCCTAACCATCACTGCAAGATACCTTCAGCATACGTCGATGTTGTCACCAGTAAATATGGGAATGTTTCGCAGGAAGACCTGCTGAATCTAACCATACCATATACAGACAAAGGTGAAAGGAGTTCTTGCAAGCTGTATACATTCGATGAACGGTACATGTATACCAATAGCACAGCAACGTGGTTTCTTGCAAATGAATCATTTTACTATGGCACAGCCTTGAAAAATAACACCAACACGTCTTGGACGGTCATCAACAACAGAGGGAGTAATAACCAGGCTGGTCCACCAAGTTCAGCACCGTGTCCAGAAGGGAGAGTGTACAGCTCTGGCCAGTATGAGTCGACCATCGTGTCAGAGGTAAATTTTTAATAGGGCTGAATGGACTATTTTTCATTTTTAAGAAGTACAATTTTCCTGTTTGATACTGTATGATGAGCATACCGCTTCAATGTTATATCGATATTCTACAGTAGGCCCTATTTAATATAATTTTTAAAGTGAAGTTATCTTTTTCGTGTTAAAAGAATACATGTCCATTGTCAAATCTTTATCATCGTAAAAGAAGTAAAAAAAATATTTGATTCTTGTTTCAGTTTGATCTTGGTTGTGAGAATGCATGGCAAATCAGTACTTGCAATTCAGTTTTCTTTTCTGGGAAATTACTATCTCTGTTTCTCACCGGCTGGCTGTCTGACAGGTAAGCATACAAAGTCCAAAATTGTGGTCGATGTTCTTCGTTTCACACACCCCACGCTTCCAATAATCAGTATAATAATTATGCTGAGAGATAAAGTCATTACAATTTTACCTGACATGTTGTTCTTGTCCATATTTCATATTTGCCGAACTTCACTCGCTGAATATTTTTTTCCATATCACTCCCTCATATAAAGACTTGATCCACCAGTGTAAAGTGCTCGTAACCGCTTATGATTCTAATCATAAATGCAAGGAAGAGAAAATATAAGTTTGCTTGGTTTTCTTTTCAGTAAGTTTGTATCTAGATCTAGAAGGCCAGACAAAATTAATAAGTGGGTTAAGGAGGGCTACCTTTATTGTGAGGAAATCGATTTTTAGTGGAAGGAAGCATTGGGTATATGTTTGGAAATTGAGAAATACTCGCAATTGACCCCAGGCAAAATATTTACGCTGTTTTTCTTTTGTTTTTTATGCTCAAAAGTCGCAGTCATTGTGGATTTTACATTCCCAAACCCCCACATGAAATTCTCGACCGACTGTTAAATATAGCTGCTACTCCCGCCATACATCATATGTTTAAAAACAAAAACAAATTCCATTACCACCCTGTTTAGAGAGAGTCGCCAACTTATCAATTTGATCCATCCCAAAGATAAAAAATTATTTAGTCTGTCAATCGTGGTTTTAACGTTTGACATGATTTATTGTATAACAATTTTGAAAAATAACGCAGGTATTAGGTAAACTTCCGTCTCGCTTATTGAATTCTAAATGTAAACAAAGCCAAATCTCATGTCATCGATTGTTAAAATAATACTCGTAAAAATTACAAGTTTCCAATTTAACTATAAATGCAGGTACGGTATATACCCTGTAGGCAGCGTAATTGTTTCTCCCTTTTGGTGCACCAGTAACTGTTTATTTTTATTTTTTTCTATTTTTTTAGATTTGGCCGTCGTCCCGTCTTCCTAGCCAGTATTTGTATTCAGGTGTTATCTGGAATAGCTCTGGCTTTTGCTCCTAACATGCTTGTTTTCAGTATTCTGTACGTAATCCAAGGCGCCGCTGATTCAAGCGCCTACCTCGCCATGTACACGTTGGGTAAGTATCGAGCGCAAGCGTTTGCACGTGAGGTTTCTCTTATTTTTTTAACTTTGTTCAATATACTTCAAGGCATTTGATCAAAATTATGATGTTTTTTATTTTTTCGTGGTTTTTTAGACCAAGTAAAAGTGGTCATTCAACAATAGGGAAAAGCACAAATGACAAAACCAAGTACTGTTTATGTATATCTTGTTAAAACGTTAAGAAAAGTTTGTTAATATTAAAATATTTAACAAGAACTTTCACTCTAATATGAAACGTGATCCAATGCCAAAGATTTTACTGGCACCACATTGAACGTCGTCCTGTACAGAAATGGACAGTGTTGTACAAAGCCAAGTTACGATAATTCTCTACAGTGTAATTATAAGAAGTGGTGTAACAATTTGATATAGGTAATGCAACTGTTATATATACATTCGCTGACCCAATATCCAGACTCACTCCTCTTCACGAGGGCTTATACTGGTTACTGGTGGAACACCTAAAGGGTCAGTGATCATTTAATCGGTTGGAGAGATTTGACGAAGGCCAATCTAATGCCCTGGATAGTGACGTCATTCTTTCACCTTTTCATGGGTGCTTTATTGGTTCACCGACTGCAGTAATCCCTCCCCTGGTCGTTGATGACTACATCCTATATTCCCCATGCAGACGGGGTCTCCTGACACACGAGTGCGGACAAACACTGTAGAGGGCAGTCATAACTGCCACCATATGTATAAGCTGATATATAAGTTATATAAGTTAGCTCTTTTGTTTTTACTCATCCGATCTCTCAGTTACAGTTTCACCCCATTTCCATAGATTTTTTGATCGATCTATCCCAGTGGGGAGTCTCACTAGATTACTGTCAGCTTGGCCGGCTTAAGCGTCTGTCCCGCCTACTAAAAGCTGTAAGGGGGTAATTAACTATGGTGCCTGCTCAGTTGACTGCAATTTAGCGTGAACCCCCAGGGAGTTAGGTCGATCTAAATCTTAAAGTCAACACCAAAGCGATAGAAGCAGTAGAAGAGTATATATACCTTGGGCAACGGTTCAGCCTTAGTGATCGAACACTGGAGAAAGAAATCCAACGAAGGATAAAAGCAGGATGGGCAGCATATGGGAAGCACAATAACATCTTCAAGAGCAACCTTCCTACCTGCCTGAAAAAGAAAGTGTTCAATGCTTGTGTGCTGCCGGCAATCACCTATGGTTCAGAGACCTGGGCACTGAATGCTTCCATGGAACACAAGCTACAAGTAGCTCAGAGAAAGATGGAAAGAATTATGTTGAACATCAGTCCAAGAGAGCGGAAAACGAATGTATGGTTACGTGAACTNATAAGAAGAAGCATAAAAAACCTATAATGCAAACAATGTAATATTAAAAACTAAAAAAATCATTTAATCCTTTAATAATTATATGATCTTAACTAGATGTCCAACAGTCTTCATAAACGTAACTTCCTCAGTTATTTTATTTCAACTTTCTTTATTTCTTTATTGCGATACAGTATGGGATTGTCAAGGGGTATCGGAATGAAAGAAATGCAGCACAAAACATATAATTGTGGTGCGTGTTGTATATTAATGTAAAGGGTACTTCCTGAAGATACCATATACAAATGACCATACAGCTAAAAACGGGACATTTGCCACTGACAAGGGTATATACCGTACATGCATCATTTTGTTTTAATTTCTTCTTTTTCCTACAGCACTGGAATTAGTAGGGGTCAGTAGAAGAAGGATACCTGCGATGGGCAAAGGGATATTTTTCGGTTTAGGACACGTAGTGATGGCAGCTGAGGCTTATTTTGTACGAAACTGGCGTCATCTTGCGTTGGTGGCAAATACCCCGGGAGTTCTGTTCGTATGTTTTTGGTGGTAAGTTGGCACTTGGGCTCTCTTGCGTTTATAGCAACAGTGGTAAACTATCATGCTACGTGTATGGGAAAAAGAGTTTGTGTTATATAATTATGACCAGGAAGGTTATTATTATTATTATTATTTTAAATATTAAAATTATTATTTTCATTATTTTGTATAAATGTAATTGTCATCTGGTGTTAATGTCACATAAACCACGTGCATTTTTGCTTTCCTGACTACGTAAAAGCAGTTTCATTCCTGTCAGTAATATTTTGTGCACATTTCAAGTTCAAACAAACCTTGATTTTGAGGTAAGGTGCGATAATTTATATTCCAGTCTGTGTGTTGGTAATATTTAAAATTCTAGGTTTTTCCCTGAATCAGTACGATGGCTCCTAGCACGCGGTAGACATGAGGAGGCGGAGGTGATCATAAAACGCGTTGCCAAGGTCAACAAAGCGAAGTTAGAGCAAGAGACTGTAGATCGTCTGTTCAAAGAAGGCGAGGAGGATCACCGTGGGGCAACATATACCCACATTGAGCTGTTCAGGACCTGGAGAAGGGCATTTATAACTTCGATAATGGCTTTAATCTGGTAGGAACCAATCAAACACAGAACGTTATTATAACGTTACCGTAACGTTTATATAAACAAAGAACGTTATAGTGACGTTATGGTAACGTTATAAAACGTTCTGTGTTTGCTGGGAAATGTCGCACACGCATGAAATATGGTGATTCGATATTCAATATTGAGCAGATTGATATATCGACCGTACCTACTCTAAATCTATCATTAGAATAATACTGTATACTTTGAGGACTCTCTTATACTGGGTACTTTCAACAGTTTCTTAAGGTTTTCCAATCTTTTAAAAAAGAATTGAATATTTAAGTTACCATATTTATACCTTTTAAAATTTTTGTAATAATCGCAATTTGTTTTATACAGAGAGCGGTTTGGTTAATGACATTTCAAAAGATCGTGTGGTACTTTCTATGTACTTTTCAACGCCTATGATTTCATGTGTATAATTCAAAATGTCGACATAGCTAGGTGAGATATTTTTTTTTGTTTTCCTCCAAAGGATGGTGAATATGATGTGCTATTATGGTTTAACTCTGAATGCCAAGGGTCTAGGAGGTAGTCTATATCTCAGTTTTGCCCTACTTGGAGCAGCAGATATCCCAGGGCTATTGGCAGCCGCCTTCTGCATAGACAAATTGGGACGACGGAAGACGATCTTTGGGACAATCTGTCTGGGTGGCAGTCTTTGTATTGCCTCTGGACTGATTCCAACAAGTAATTATGGACAGACGTGCGACTAAGTGATATGCCTAAATAAACCAACTGAATGGAAAGGTTAAATAATAGTGTAAATTTGGGAAACGCGTTGTTTCACGATATGTTTCAGTTTGTTTTGGTATGAAATCAAAGTAATATTTAACTTTAAAAACTCAGCTAATTATACTGCTGATGAGATTTGTTGCTGTGAGCTATATTGTGGTGTTAAATCTACACATCTGCAGGATGGAATAGATAGATTGACGGAAGGAATAATATGCCGATCCTGGTTTCTTTTCAGGCATGTTCTATCTCACCATTGCATGTGCCGCACTCGGGAAAATGCTGATCACTCTGTCGAAGGCGGTTCTCAGCATGTTTTTAGTAGAGAGTTACCCAACTGTTATCAGGTACTTATTATATTACCTCAGTGTTCTTTAGAATAGTTTAAATAAAAAGGGCAACTATAAAAGTGAAGAATTTATTAACTAAACCTCCCATTTTAAATGCAAAAATGGCATTGAAATAAACATATGATTATGGCACACGCAGATTTTAGTTCTTTGTAAGTTCTGTGGTTGATTAGGTTGAATCATTGTCGTCCATTGGTATAAATTATGCTAGCCTTCATCCGTAATTATTCTGTTCATTAACGCCTGACATGTAACGGGTTATTATTTACAATTTAAAACGCATCTATTTTGTTACTTTGTTTATACCTCCAAAGTGGCAACTGTTTTTGTGTATATCAAATCCCATATTTTTCTATACACATGAAATAAATAAATTCACATATACATATGTGACCTGTTTTTATCTTTTTTTTTTCGTAGGCACATGGGTTTGAGTTTTTGTTCGTCGGTCGCCAGGCTTGGCGCCGTAATCACCCCTCAGATTCTATTCCTAGGCCGTGTGTACAGACCACTTCCTTTCATTATTTGGGGGGCACTGGCCATCTGCACCGGGTTCCTGATTCTCCTGGTTCCCGAGACCCTGAACAAACCACTTCTGCAGACCGTGGAAGAATGGGACGTCGTGCTTGACAGGAAAATGTAAGAACATGCACATATTTTAGAATATTTTCATAAGCAGAGGTAAACCTACGTTGTTGTTAAGTTCATTGTTTTGGTCGCACTGGACAAGCAAATGTAAGGGCAGTTTTCCACATTCTGTTTGTAGAAAAGCTATTATATTTTTATTTAACAAAAACATAGTTGGTTTTCTTAAAACTACGTGTGGTCACGCGGATGTTTGGTGAAACAGATGCTAGTTTCCTTTGTTTAACATGCTTAATTATGTCGAGCAGACCCTTTCATATTCCCCTCCTCTGTCTCTCTCTCACTCAATATTTTTCAACTATCCAATTATGACATGATGTTATGAGTTGTATTTATATTTTAAGCTTGGGTTGTACTTCAAAGAAGGATGGAAATGAGGCTCGAGACACCACAACTACCGGTGAAAGTTCTTATTTGTGATTAGAACATCGATTGTGACGATAAAAGTTTCTTTGAAAGCATATGATGCAGATATCTCACCCAATTTGCAAGAAGTTATTTCAGGGATACTGCAGGCTTCATAGTTCTCGTCTGGTGACTGATTTTTTGCCAATTGTGAGGATGAAGCAACCATCTTTGAGTCATGATAGTGACAATAATGAGCACCTGTGGCATGAATTGGAGTGTGCAATGCAGAGGGGAACCAACCCCTACTAACCTGGACCAACTCTGCCAACGTCCTTACGAAACCTGGGACAATATCCCGCAAAACAGAATTCCGTTGTTGAACGCATGCCTAGCCGTATACAGAAGCTTATTGCAGTACACGGTCTATACACACACGCTATTAGACAGGCGACCTTTAACGAGCACATTCCACTGCTAATGCTTATTTTGTGTAAATTTGGTCACATTTGGTGGTGTCTTTTCAGTTTTATGAACATTTCTTTACCTCTGTGGAATTCACAGTGAAACGTAGAATTTGAGAGGTAAATGTCAAAAAACTGAATCATTGATTTAACATATGGATGTCGTAATTCGCCCCTTTTTTGTATTTTCTGTGCCATTAGATATGGTATCTGGAACATAAAGCACTGTTTATAACAATTTTCACATGTGAGGTGATCATTTGTAAAAAAAAACGTATGGAACTAGAGGTGACACAACCTTTTTGACTAATGGTGTATACTAAACATATATATGTGTAGTTACCTCCGGCAAGGAGGTTATGTTTTCACTCCTGTCTGTCTGTTTGTCTGTTTGTCATCAACATAACTCAAAAAGTTATGGACCGATTTTGATGAAATTTTCAGGGTAGGTGGGAAATGGGTTAACTTAGAAGTGATTAGTTTTTGGTGGTGATCCGGATCAATAATCAATCAATAATCAACAATGATCAAAAATCGCTGCCTTGGCGGAGGTCTGCGCTCTCGGAGTGCTTTTCTAGTTTTAAATAATTCACCATGGAGACGACGGGCTTTTTATTGCAGGTCATACTTTACAATCTGCATAATAATTATACAGTATGCACGGCGAATCAAACTTCTATTTTAATATCTATTACCAGCAGAATCATGTAAAATGGCGTATAGAAAAAATTGCTGAAAGAGACCTCCTGCAGCCAAACTGTCAACAAACTGGATATTATATACTAAAGATACTATGCTTTTATGATACCTGACATGTACATACAGTGTGATCCGTTATATACTGGTTTACACTGATATATATATATATATATATATATATATATATATATATACTTGATCCAAAAATTGAGACTGCAATCTTAACCAAGTCTTGTGTTTTTAAAAAACAGTTATTTTTTGTTTCCCGCTTTGATAAATTTCACACTTGATCTTAGTGTTCTGATGGGACTTGCAAGTTTAAGTGTTGTTCAGACTGAAAAAAGAAAAAGGAAGTAGCTCTTCAAAATTTTCAAAGATAGGAGTGACTTTTTGAAATTTTTTTCCAGCTGCATGTAACAAAATTTGATGAGTACTGATGAAATATGATTATTGATAAATTATGAGTTCTACAAAGTGTTGCCGTGCAGTTGAATGCTGATCAGATTGTCACATGCTGATGAATGAACGATGAATGAGAAAACAAATAATGAAAATACAGCAAAAGAAAGTAAACAGATACATCCGATATATTCACCTGTCACTTGCGAGCATCGCCACAGTGATTCATAAGCTCGGCTTGCCGTGCGCATATCATGTATATAACTAAACCGAACACTGTGTCACTTAAGTATCCTATTGTTTCTTCATTTTTATTTTTTCAAAACAAGGAAAGTTTTTACAGCGGTATAATTATTTACCTAGAACTGACTCGGGGTTAAGTTAAAAGTAATTCTGCATGTCAATGTCAATGGCAGATGGCGATTCAGAACTATTGCCGATTGGTCTAGGACATTTGGCGATCGGGATCTGTCCTAGGACAGATGGGAGTCAGCATCTGTTCTAGAACAAATGTTGCTTGTAGCATTTATAGAAAATTCAAACATAGTTCAATTTTTTTTTTGGTTTTTTTTTTTTTTTTTTTGCTATGATTTACTCCTCTGAATCGATGTATCAGCGATTGAAATCATAATAAACGTAACAAAATCTGAATAATTAAGTGTACGTGTGGCTACTCCAAAGGACACTTACCAGATGTCGTGCTGATAAAATTTACCTAGACAAAGGTTTTCCATCGAGCCGTGATGGAATTCACCTTATAGTGTAACATTGCCACCTCAACTACTGATGATTTTTGGTGCCCGACGCAAGGGCGGATCTTTGTTATTCCAGTTTTAGATTATTTTTCATTTTATGTGATGTCACATAACTGGAATATCAAAATAGTCACTTTCAGCAGCCATGAGCTTGTCTCTGTTAATTAATGATCTCAGAATTTTATGTGTTATCATCATAAAAGTACTAGTGTCGTTGCTCTACGAATTAACGTGCTTCACGCGTAGCAATTTGAATAATTGGCTTACCATCTTTTGTCTTTCAAAAGGCACTTTCAAAGATAGATAGATAGATAGATAGATAGATAGATGTAGATACATGGAATAACACTCCACACCTGTAGAATGACTTCACTCTTGATAGAGATTATGTAATAAATTCAGTTCAGTTACGAAATTGACCTACCACCTGCATCTTGTCAGTCTTGTCTGCCACATGGGTTTTATAATTTTTTATAAATGATCTGAGATACTAGTGCAAACCTGTATCTCTTTGTTCGTGATGCTGTGGAACATAAATAATGGTATGCTTGAAGGGTGGTTGGAAATGTCAACATGTCATACAGGTTGTATGACTACCCAGATGACCCGTTTTGACGTCTGATTAATTTTTTGCGGAGGACTCTAGAATTTAACGCTGACACTGATTCTTTCTATTAGCAGAGAATTGTTGAGGAGCATTTCTGCCGCACCTCACTAGGAAGGTAAGATTACTTAGCAGTCATGTTAACTATGGTCACAGATTAAGATGCACAAAATGTTAAAATGGAATAAAACCGTGGTACCATGCCAAGGGACACCTCGATGAAGTAGAGGCATGGCCTCTCACTGCGTCATTGAGAAAGGGACCTAAAAGTCTACCTACAGGGTTACCACTTAATATGGAATATTATTTTTTGGCGTGAAAATTTTCTACAAAGTATTATTTTTCTCTCTAACTACTTTAAAGCCACGACTAAGGTGTCACTCCATGTGTAGCCAGGTGTGTTACCTAATTACCACACAACTCTCGAAACAAATGATGCATACAGTTGCATGTTCTGTGGTCAGAAATTTGAGGGATGGTCTTTTCGGCAATTTCTGCCTTTGTATAAAAACGCATGGGTTTGGCCAATCTTTGTAGTTTATTTATAAAAGCAACAAAGGGATCGCTCTAAAACTTGACAGGTACCTTAGAGAAGATAAGGTAAGACAGCTAAGCAAAGCAGCTTACTATTGGATTCTTGCTGTCAGAAAAAATGTCCAGAAATTAATTTTAATTAATTGCCAGGCAAAGCAACATTTATCAGGAACCGTTAGTAAAGTCCTCCAAAGAAATGCTACAACAGGGAAACCTACTCCAATACCTCGACCAGGGTGTCCGCGTATCACACCACGAAGATAGGATCGCCTTATCCCTAGAGTGCGCCGTGCTGGTCGTACAAAGACAACCAGTGTCCTCAGAAAGAGTGGCAGAATGTCATTCAAACGCCCGTTTCAGGGTCCCTCGTGAACAAGAGATTACTGCAAGCCGGTTATTTTGCACGAAGACCAGTAGGGAAACCACTGTTAACAGCAGGTCATATACAGCGACGTCTGCAAGGGGCAGGAGAACACGTGCGTTTGCAGCCAAAACACTGGAATCACGTCGTTTTCGGTGATGACGCCAGATATGGAGTTTTTGAGGTTGACGGTCGAATCCATGTCCGCTGACGTGTACGAGAGGCATAAAACAATGATTGTGTACTGACCAGGGCGCAAGCAGGAAGTGGTAACGTCTCTGTTTGGGGAGCATTTCATGCCGGTGTTCAGAACCAGTTGGTTTTTCTAGGAGGCAACCTCAACCAAGGTTCCTACAGAGACATTCTACAGCAAACAATGCTTCGATTTGTAAGGTTCATCTTTAGGAACAACTTTGTGTACCAAGACGACTGTGCAACCCCACATCGAGCTCGTAGAATCACTGTTTTTCTTCAAAACCAATGTCCTGGCCTGTCCTGGCCTGCAAACTCTCCAGATATTAACCCTATTAAAATCTGTGGGCGGAAGTAACTCACAGAATTAACAGCTATGGTCATCGGCCAGTAAATAGTGATGAACTGCGACAGGCAAATATCTTTGCGTGTAATGATATCTTCATCCAAACTCTAAAAAACTTGTCACAGGGTATGACATGTAGGGTAGGGCGCTGCAGGCGGCTGCTGGAGGTCATACCCGCTATTGATGACTTTTCATGATTTACTGTAATGAGTTCTTTGACTGTGTAACATATCACTGTCCGGAGGGTATCATTTTCTTTAATATCTTAGCTTAAAATTAATACTGACATCAAACTGTTCATATGGTTTTCTGGGGGTGTTCTTTTCTTTTGAATGACATCTTATGTCAGATTTGATATTATTGACCAAAATATCTCACAATAGAAGACTGAATATTTTTATCACTCAATGACATACTTTTTTGATGAATCAAGACAAAAAAAATTTAATCAGCACTCAAAAATAACAAAGATAAGAAATATTCCATATTAAGTAGTAACCCTGTATATATGGGCTAGATGCCTCATTACAACACGGTACTGGGTTTATATAAGGGCTTTTGGGGGTTGATCCGTGGGCAGAATAATATTTACGTTTATAAAGTCCCTTACCAAGCGGACGGTGAAGGGAAAGCAATGCGATGCGGCAAGTGAATGGTGTCCTGGAATATTGCACGTACCAAGGGGATCAAATTAAAATTCGAAAAACATCACCGTAAGGCA